GTAAACCAATAAACAGCGTGACACACCGCCTTTAACCTCAATGAATAAATGCCTATTTCAGGCATAACAAGTTGCTTGTTTAATTATGTACAAAGTTAAATGCCAATAAGTCACATAATTTTATTTTCCATGTCAAAAGATGTTCAAAATTCTTGACTTAAATTCCTGATTGATTTTTCTGACTGTTTTAATATTGTAACAATTTAAAAATTTTCAGTGATCAACAAACGCGTAGTCACTTGAAAAATGTCTATGCTGCCCTCACCTTGTCAACATTTTTGGCAGCTGGTGGTGCTGGTGTCCACATATTTACTGATGTCCTAAAAGTAAGTTTATTCAGCTTTTCAGAGAAATTTGCAACCTGTCTTATACATTACATGTTTATTGATTTTAATAACTTGCTGTTGAATTCAATTTTGATTGCTTCAGCCCCTTTGTAATATCTTTAGCACCACGAATTTCAGCAAATTGTTTAAAAAAGTAAAAGGGATGTCTGAAGAAATTTCAGTTGACAGGGAGGAAATTCTCTTCTTTATCATCACATTAGTCAATATTTGGTCAGCATTTGCTCAAAATATTCTTTCATAGGAAAGCTTAAGGAAACTTTTCAGAAGTTTAGATTCTATAAAAGAATATTCTATTAATTCTTTAAAAGATTACAAGTTTTGTCTTTCCCTTTTTCGGCTATAACTCATGTATTCTTTATTAAATTTATAATCTTCAGGACTGAAATTTTCTCATTTCTAATCTGATTGTCTTTACATTTCTACAAGGGAGGGTTTTTGTCTGGCATTGTTGGAATTGGACTCATGCTTGCATTGGCTTTTACCTCAAATGAGCCAAAGAATCAAATGAAGCGAATGGGTAAGTGACATTATTATAAGAAACTGGTTTAAAAGACAGTAACACACCTTTCTAAAAGTTCACATTTTATCAAACCTATGATATTTCAAAAAGTATTTGCAAAATCACAATTTTTCAAATGACAAATTTATTGTACCAATGACTTGCCTAAAGAAATATTTTTGCAAGTTTAGAATCCTAGTGTCTGTGGCCGTTGATTGATATATGAACCTTTCCCTTGAATGTTTTTCTTCTGCCCACAAATTCATGATTTAAGCACTCTAGTTTCTTAAGCACTGATATCTTAAGTACTATATACCAGTTTTCAAGAGTTTTCCATGCAATAAAACATTATAATAAGCAAGAATTTATGTAGAGGAAATCTTTGATGAAGGTAGTTCATTGAATCTAAATCATGGGACATTTTTTTAGATTTATAATTTTAATGCCTAATAATTGTCCTTCAATACCAAGTTTAAAGCCCACTTGCCAAATTATACTTTAAGAAAATGTTTGTGCCCTGGATGTGCAATAGTGGAGAGCAGATTAATTATTGTTAATAATGTTTGAGACAGTTTTAAAATTATGGAATCAATAAGAAAGAAGATTCTAAACCAGAAGAAATGTCCAACATACAACCCAGGATCCAGATGTGCCCCCCCCCCCAAAGCATATATATGGCCTGTGCAAAGTAAACATTTCCAATTCTTTGGTCCTTGAGCTAGGTTTATGGTTCTTGAGTAAATTTTTATGATTCATTTTTAGGCATGCTTTTTAATGATTAGGCATGCCAATGATTTGCATAATTATTCAACTGGCCGGCCTGTGCAATAAGATTTTGTCTATGACCCACCCAAAAAATAGGTTGGAAACCCCTGTTCTAAAATAATCATAATGATTTACCACAACAATTTCTTTCCTGAGATTTTTTTCTCCTTGGTAATCTTTTATTTCCATATTAAATTTCTTTAATCTTATTGAACTGTTTCTTTGCTTTTCCAGGTTACCTTGGTGGATTTGCATTTTGCACAGGTTGGTCTTCTTTTACTTCAAAATTCTGAAAAATTTTAGTTTCAATATGCATGATCTTCTAAAAATTGCCTGTGTAAAAGTAGTGAATATGTTTTTAGTTGGCTACACATGTACACTACCAGGACAAAAGTATTGCAATGCCCTAATCATAATTAGTCTTCTTTTCAAGTTGTAGCCTCTTTGTCTTTTGATCGAACCAGCTATCCGCACGGTCAAAATAGGATTTTGGTATAGCCTTTGGTGCTACTGTATTTTTTTTGTTAAGGTCAATGGGTAGCCATGCCTATTATGCTCCCATTGGCATTGTCTTTGTAATATTGTTCTTGTAGAATGTACTTTTTTAGACTGTGTATAAAAGAAAGAAATTTCAAAAATTGTTGGATGCCATTTTTCTACTGTTTCAAGAATTTTAAAAAATTCTAAACTGAAGGAACAGTTCAGAAATCAAGGAGAAGTTGCCAACCAAAATAGTTGATGCTAGGAGTGAGCGAATGGTTACTCGAATAATGAAATGTCACAGGTTTGACAAATTAAGCATCATAACGGACGTCTTTAACCAATCTTACCCTGGTAGTAGAGTGTCAAAATGATGTGTAAAATGCATTTTATGCAAGTATGGCATTCGCAGCTATATAAGAAAAAGAAAACCATTTGTTTCCTTGGAAAACAGAAGAAAACGATTCCAGTAGGCAAATGCTCTGAAAGAGTGGCAGATCAAAGACTGGAAAATGTTATTTTCTCAGATGAGTGTCGCTTAACAAATGACAGCAAAATGTTGAGAGTTTGGTGAACAACTGGTGAAGAAGATAACCCCCAATTTTTGCCTCAAAGCTCTCCAATTCAATGTCAGTTATGTTTTGGGGTTCAGTTAGGCCTAAAGGAGTTGGAAAACTTGCTTTTTTGTGATAGGCGAGTCAATGCAGAAAAATATATTCAAATACTGCAAGATAATCTGTTTAGAGGAATAAAATCAATGCTTGGAAAACAAGGGGAGCCATTTATTGTCCAACAAGACAATGCACCCCCTCACAAAGCAATTTTTACAAAAATTTACCTGAGAATCCGAAAGCTCAGTGTCCTTCTTTGGCCTGCACAGAGCCCCAACCTAAATATTATTGAAAATGTCTGGTTGCAAATGAAAAACCAAATGATTGCTCATCCAAGAGGTCCTCCAAGGTTGAAACAAGCACCTACTGAAAAAGTTCATGAAGAATGGAAGAAAATCTCGGTGAAGTTCACAAAAATTCTCTATGCATCAATTCCAAAGTGACTTTCAACAGTTATCAGAGCCAGAGGCCACTCCACAAAATACTAGTTTAAACCAAAAGTTATTGCAACTGTTAATTCTAAATTTTTAAAACTGAAAATGGAAATACTTTTGTCCTGGTAGTGTATATCTGTTGTGTTAAACAAGCAATTAAACTTTTATTCCTTTGTGAGAATGAACTTTTCCTAGAAATCGCCTTTATGTCTGCTTTATTTTCTTGCATTCATATTGGTCTTTTATTTCAATAGGCAGACATTTTAATTTTCCTACTTCTTAAAATTACTTTTTGTGTTGGGATTGAATACTTGATTACTATTGATCATTGAAACTTCATTTCATTGTGTGAGAAATTAATAGGCAACAGAAAAGCCTCTTAAATGCACATGCTTTTGATGGATGTTTTTATAGTTGTGTTGGATTTGAACATAATGAGAGCGAATATTGTCTTGTGTTGCTAGTAATACAAAAAGAGAAATTCAGTTCGTATTTGTCAGTTTGGAAGACATCATATATATTTAAATTTCAAATTATTCCAGATTGCATTGTCTATTCTGACTTGACAGTGCTCGATGTGCAAAAGCACAGAGCAATAGATATAATAGAAGATAGGTTAGAAATGAGACATGTTCTCTGTTACTCTGAGTTTCGTGCTTGCGCACTAATCAGATAGTCTGTCTGTTGAGTGTGCAAGCTCGAAACTTTTTCTGTCTGATGAGTGTGCAAGCACAAAACTCTGAGTAACAGAGAACATGTCTTATTTCTAGCCTATCTTCTATTATATAAATTATAAACTGACATCTTTCATGTGTATTCATTTTTTCAGTCATCTACCAATCAACTGATTTGTGATTGGGTAATTTGATATGACATATTGTTCTTGTTCTTCTAGGCCTTGGACTTGGACCACTTATGGATGCTGTTATAGAAATTGACAGAAGGTTAGTCTGCTTCTCTCATCCCTGAAAAGAATATTTATTAAAATTCATTCTGTCTTTCTTTATGCATATTATGCTTCAAATTGCAAAATTCAGTTTGAAGAATGATTATAGCATTTCCAAATCTGTATAACTGAACTCCTTTGTTCTGATTTTGCACATTTCTTTGAAAAAATGTATTTAGGCATTATTTTCAATTTTTTAACCTTTGGTTTTAACAATGATGTATTGAATTGTTCAATTAACCCCTTTATATGAATTATCTGCTTACATTATGTTACTATCTGGCATTTGTATGCTGAAGGGTGTTGAACAAAGTATATACTATAGTTTGCTATTTTTCAGCTATTTTGTCTTACCATCTTAAAATTTTGTGGTACCAAACTTATTTAATTTATCGTTTTATGGCCAATTTTATAAACGATTTGTCCTGACATAAAGCATTGTTTTGAAATATGACTTGTTTTTCCACCAGCATCATCCCAACAGCCTTCCTTGCAACTTGTCTCATTTTTGCTTGTTTCTCGCTGAGTGCCTTGTGGGCAAAAGAAAGAAGCTATCTTTACCTTGGCGGTATGTATCTACTACCATTCTATATCAATTTTTTATTTATTACCATGTCATTTCCAGTGATTCTGCTAAAGGGTTTTAGCAAGGGCAAGGCTCCTCTCAGCTAGATTTGTTTTTCAAAATTTTGATGAGACTTCAAGAAGTGACTTTGAAGAATAATATTTGCATTCAATTTCAAATCTCAGGTACCCTGCTTTCCGCTCTGTCCGTGATGCTGTTGCTGGGTATTGCAAACATCTTTCTGGGTTCTCATCTTATCTATAAGGTTTGTAGAAATATTCTCAGTACTTCAAAGTTCAGTACTTGTCACAGAGCCAAAGGTTCTTGCATTATTTTCTAGAATTTCCTCCTTTTTTCTAAATATTCCATAATTTTGCTCAAGGTGATGAGAGGTCGAAGACTAGTGCCAAGATGATGATTGTCATCCTCAGAAAGGCTCCTGGTCCATAAAGAAAAATAGAATGATTATTCAAATCTTAGATTTATTGTTATGCTGGCAGTTTTCTTGCAAATGTCAAACTTTTTAATTCGTTTATTGCCTGTTTTTGTCTTGTATTTATGCTCTTCAGAGTTTCATAACAAGGCAATCTCAGTTTCACCACTCTATTTTTAGGATTTCTTCATTATTTGACCGAATTCTAAGAAAGTAACATTTGATCTTTCCAACAGATCCAACTCTATGGTGGCTTGATCCTTTTCTGTGCCTTCATCCTTTACGACACACAGCTGATTATCCAGAAGAGAAAGAATGGGGACAATGATTTTATTTGGTAAACTTTGCTATTGTTTCTAAGGCGATTCTCTAGAAAAGTATGATTACACCCTTTCCTTTCCATTTCATTGAGTATACTTGTGACAGACCAACATAAGTATGGTCTGGCACAAGTATTTGCCAGCAGATAACAAAGTTCAACAGTAACCAATCAGGTTGGCCTTTTTAATCAGTTTACAGGGATCAACTGTCACATACTTCTGAGATGGAAATTCAATTTCTAGGTTGGAGGCAAAATCTCCAAAAACAAGCGAATTTGCTGATAAACAACAAATTTGACTGACAAAACTGTGTTTTAACTTACAATTTAGCAACATTTGAGGATTTCCGTCATTTCCGCCCATGACTTACTTTTCCACGATATTTGTAGGTTTCTAGTTTTGCCAGTGGTTAAAATGAACTTACACTGTGCAAAACACATATAAATCACCATTTTGATAGTTCAAAGTAATAATGCTAAACCACCCTTTGCTAATCAATACGAAGCTGCAAATTCCTTCACGCACACAAGACCCAAAATTACTTGTTGTAGAGGGTGTGTGTGTCGTGTCAACATTCCTGGCATGATAATGTTTCTGTTGCTTCTCTGCCGATCTGAAGAAGCTCTTTTCTGCACTTACAATATTTAATTCCATTTCACTCCAAAGTTAGAAGAAATTAGGAATAAAATTGACTATGATGGAAACCAATATATATATATGAAAGAATTGTGACATGGTCCACCTATGTGCTCAGCAGTCCCATTCACCCTAAAGGTGCCAACAGGATAATTCCAATCGCACTTAAAACTTTATGCCAAAGACTCAGTGATTTTTTCCTGTCGCTCCAAAATTTTACTTTTATTTTTAATCGTTAAAGGCACTCCGTTGATTTGTTCCTGGACTTCATCAACATATTCCGTCGTCTCATGGTTATCTTGGCCGATAACAAGGTTTGGAACTTTTTTATCCTATCAGTTGCATTTATTTACCTATAAAACCAGGAATATGTATATATGTATTTATATTTGTGTTTGTATGTTTTTTTGCTGAGTGTATGAGGTGAGATGAAATTAGGTGAGACAAGATGAGGTTAGATGAGATGGGATAGGAGGAGATCGGAGGATGTGATATCTTGCAATGCTTTGGTCAATTTTGGTGCTTTGTGGATATGTTGCACATTAAATCATGTCTGAAAACTGTTTTTTATTGTTTGATTTGTTTAATTGTTCAAAAGGGTTTCTCTCTGGCATAACAATGTTCTTTTCCTTTTAACAGGAAAGCAAGAAAAGAAAGAATTAAGCACCCATCATTTGTCCCTGTACAAGCTGTTCCGGCAATTATGAAACATTATCACAAACATTGCAATGTTGTCGTTATAATATTAATGCTTATTAATAATTAAATAGAGAACAAGAAAGCTAAGCATCTTTTAATCGTTTTGTTTGCCTCTGTCATATAAGCTCACTTCATTATGGATATCCGATTCTGGCGAAATTTTCTTTCCAATTCGGATGTATTTTTGTTCCATTTGTCCTCACAAAATTTTCTGTAGAAAACTTCTTTATTCAAGTGTCCTAAACTACGCCTGCTTAATTCATCCCAGTTTTTAGAATAAGACTTGTAGCTACGTGCTTTATTTAGCAATAAGTAATTGTTGTGTTGATAAAACATCTATCTGTCAAATCCCCTGCGCATTTCTTTGTCAATCTTGTTTCTACATTTGGTCAACTTTAGACGGCGAAAATTTATTAAATTGCTCAAACGAAAATTGGGATAAAGGTTAAGAAATATTTTTTTAGAGAAGGTCTGTCTATTCACAATCGAAAGGTTCACAGAGTGGTTGTCGATACTTTTTGCGTTAGTACATTGTGATAAGTGAACAGGGTTTGGGAAAATATACTGAGAGAAAATGTGTGCAAGTGACAAGACTGGCGCAGGACATGAACCCACGACCAGCAACACTGACGTCCTTGAAGGAACCAAAAGTATTCGTTTGGCAGTGATTGGTAGTAATGAGTGTTCCCAAAAAATGAAATTGTTCCATCAACGTAATAAATTTTCAAGCTTCAGGCAAAGAACAGCGTAAGCTAAGGAGGTCTAATTAATATTTAGGGTCTAATTTTGATAATTCTATTATTCAATAAACATGATATTTTTGCTCACAGTTAATTGTTTTCTAATTAATGTTTTGTAGCATATTTTTGGGCTTATTGCAGAAAACCAGCAGTTAATGTTGGGTAGATTGCACGAGACCATCATTTTGAGCTCCCAATAAATTTGAACTGGTATCCATTTTTCCTTCGCCTCTCAAATCGGTCATATTCCAAAGCGAAAACCTTATTATGGACGGAGGTTACCTCTGCTTTTGGAAAATTTGTTTTATCAGGTTCGTGGAAGCCAGGGGGCACCAGGTGTACGTGCCCCCAACTTGGAAGAGTGCCTCTTTTCTGAGACAGAATACCTTTTTAAAGAACAAACCTCGATAGAAGCTGAAAATTTTCCTCTTCTGTTAACAAAACAAAACAGATTTTATCAGCTGATCAAATGTGCTAATAGAAATACCATGAAAAACTGATAGAAATCAACATGTGAATTGAGATTGTTCCCGTTTCTACCTATGCCACTACAGATTTCAAATCTTCCAGACGTACCTGTGGGGGATTCTACAGCGCGCATAGCAACCATTTAGTTATGTTATATTCTTAGATATATTGCTTTTTAAAGACAACAGGATTTTCTCTATTAATCATATATTGCTTTATTCACTTGAGGACTCGAAGTAGCTTAATTTGTTTTGTTATGATATTATATTTACGTACTTGTCTCCTGTTAATGTGTATGTGAACAAAGTAAAGGAAACTGATATTCGTGATTGTATTTAAAACCTACGTAAGACCTTTGTATCGGTATAAGCAAATATAGGTTCCCTGATTTGACATGTTAATTAGCTGAGTAATGTAAATTGAGTTCATAAAAGTACAGTAGGGCAGGGTTAGCGTAAAATGTGTTAAGGAAAGACGTGTATAAAAATTGAGAAATGATGAGACAAGGCGTACGTTTGAGTTTTCTTTGAAGAGATTTCTTGGTTCGTGGAGAAGTATACATGTTTCGAGCCAGCTTAATTGAGATAGATTGCGATCTATAACAGTACCTAATGTTTTTGCATTTCCTAGGAGTTTTGTACCAATACCTCTTTCGGGGAAACAATACGTCAGTCACCATATTTAAATGCTTCAAAATGTGAAGTCAAGATTTTCAGTGAAAGCAAAGTTAACGTGAGTAAATACGAAAGGGTATAATGGCTGCGTCACTCGGTAAGTATTAAGATTTTATATAACTGCGTCTGGTCCTCTGGCAAAACAAAGGGGCTTAAATATTCTGGGTCAACCACTGTTTTCCTTTTGACCGAGTTTTTCTGAAGATCTTCCAATCTACATTTATGAATAATTTTGTGTAATTTGCCTTTTGCTGCAGCGGATTCTTTAATTAATCCTTTGGGAAATTTATTCAACACTTCGCTATACTGTTTTCGCGCTCTTACCAACTACTTTTTGTTTTATTTTGCAGAACAACAACGGGTTCGTACGTGAATCAGTCCCATACTAACCTGCTTCTTAATCAGCAACCTTATTAATTTATAATTATCACCAAGAACTGCCCCATAGGCCTCGCTGTATACGTATTAACGACAACAAATACGAATGTTTTTATACAACAAGCACAATGTCAGTGGATTCTCTTGACTGTGGTGTTAGCAAGATGACGAGTGAGGATGTTGATGTCTTCTTCTCATCAGAGGATGAGTTTGATAGCGATTATGAAATAGATAGTGTGAACAAATTCAGCTTTTCCTCACGGTACAGTGGCAAACCAGGGTCAATTTGCAGTCGACATTCGCGTTACGACCCTACCGGGAGAGACACATACACCGAAGCCTGCCACCTTTTAAAGGTAACACCAGCACAACAGTTCATTAGGTGTATGACTCACCCTGAAGTTGATCTAAGTCATCGCGGGCTGGGACCGACAGGAGTCCGCGCAGCTGCTATCGCTCTCTTGAAGAATACCTGTGTTTCGAAGCTGAATCTGAAGGACAACGGCATGGGAGAAGAGGGTATGAGATGTATTTGTGTCGTTTTCGAGCAAAATTATTTCATTACTGACCTGGATGTTGCGGACAACGGCTGCAAAGGCAAAGGTGCAGAATACATTGCAAAAATGCTTGCTTTCTGCAACACTCTCAAAAGGCTTGATGTGTCAGGTAATCCGTTGTCATATCCTTCTACTTGCTTGACGTTTGATTATTTACCTGCAAGACTTCTCCTTTATAGGCTTATGCAGGAACACCTGAAATATAGAAAGGAGTAACCATTTAAGCCATACCAACATTTTTGCCAAAGTGAGGGTTTGAAGGAATAATGTAAGTTTTCTCCTTTAATCAAAGGAGACTGTAGCTTGTGCCACTAATGAATAATAATATCTTTTAATTCTCAACTTACCTATCCATGTGGCCAAGACATATTCGTGTGACAAAGACAGATCTGCGTGACAAAGACAGATCTGCGTGACAAAGCCAGATCCGTGTAGCCCAACTGTCACATTTGCTATTATATAAGAACGCAGACATTGCTTCATTGGGCTCCCTACAGGTTTTTCATATACAGGTTTTTCTTATTTCATGACATTGCTGTATTTGGTAAAGAAATATATCTTCCTGTAATCTCCACCTTCCTGTTGACTTCACTCCAAGACTGAAAAAGTGCCTAGGGACCGACCCTGGTGTGCTTTTTCTTCCTTTCTCGTAAATGTTCGAAAATTAGAATTGATCTAGTCAATGAGACGTCATACTTTGAAGAACAGTCAGAGCGTTGATTGCTGTAACGGAATTTCATTGACTTTTAGAAATAAACTCAGTGTTATTGATAGCGTATCAATTTAACTCAACCAACTGAATAAAGGCTCAACTAAGTTTTAATCATTGCTTACTTCTCGCCTTAGGTAATGATATAGGGAATCGTGGAGTTGAACTAATTGCAGATGCACTTAGCATCAACTATACATTGGAGAGTTTCTCTCTTTCGAATAACAGCATGTCCGAGGTAGGTGCCAACGCTTTAAGCAAAGCACTTGATGGAAATATTTCGCTCAGAGAGCTAAACCTGTCATGGAATAACCTGAGATCTAAAGGTGCAAGAGGTAATATGCTATAAACATCTACGATCAATTAATTTCTTGTTTTATTTTTCTTAATTATTTTGTATCGCCAATATTAATTTCAAACTTTCTTGTGTACGGAGGCGAAGCAGGACCTTTGCCGTCTCCATTTTTACGCGAAACAAAATGATTTACAAGTAAACGATCTTTTGTAATGGGCCTTTAATTTCTTTTTCTGTATGAGTGTTTAATCTGCATTTGGACCTCTCGAAATTGCATTGGAATCACAAATTTCCAGTAAAGAAGGTTGGCTGGGTTGGGTGATGTCAAAAACACAGACAGCTACACCTATACTGCATTTTATGCTAAATTCTACTTTTCTATTTTGTTCAGAGATACAGATTTTGGATAATATCTTTTGTTTACAGATTGCCCCCGCTTCTAATGATCTGTCATTCACCCGCCCGTACCAGAGGCTCTCGTATTGTATTACTGTACTGAATTTCATGTAATATAGCGTAACTGCAATCTTAGCTTCATTTGTTTTTTTCAGCCATAGCAAAAGCGTTAACCGGCAACTCGTCACTGCAAATTCTGGATTTGTCTTGGGGTGGAATAGGAGACGATGGCGTGAAACCAATACTGACTGCTCTCAAAGATAACACAAGCCTTACTTCTCTGAACTTAGCAAGTAACAGGATCGGGGATGCAGGTATTCCAATCGTTACAGTTGCTTTCAGCTTTTCATCGGTTAACAGCACATATCGTTGTTATTGCTGACCTTATAAGATTTCGTTTTGCGAGTGTTTCTAAGTAACAGTCCCTCACTCCCAGTTGTTCCCTTGCTTCCAGGTGTATTATGATTAAGCTGTCATTTTTTGATTCCTCCTTTCTCTCTTACTTGGTGACCCCTACCCTACTGATTCTTCCAGCCGTACCACATTGCCGGGACCGTTGCTATAGGGGATTGGAGGCTTAGGCCTGGTTCAAACGTCGCGCTTCTCATGTGCCGAACCTAATTCGAGAATTAAGTACATGAGGGGCGCGACGTTTGAATCAATTTGGTACGGCAGATTTAGTTAGGAGCGGCAGACTAGTTTGGATCGGCAGAGCTTGCCGAGCTGCACGGCTCCAGCACGGCACGGTTTCAAGCGTCGAACTTGTCATGTACCGAACTCAATGCATAATTATATTTAATTTATTTTCCTTCCCAGAATTCATTTCTTTCTATGAGGGCGCATGCGTTTCAAACAACTTTTTGGCGCGAAATATTGGCGCGATTTTGGACATCAAACTCAATCATGGAGTCGGCATATGCGAAGGTTTGCTGTATTTGTTCGCGCAGCACGAAATATCGCTGTATTTCTTGTCAAGTTTTTGTGTGCAATAGATGCTCTATTGCAGAACTCGATGAAACAAACGCCAGTTGGATTCCTGGACAGCAAGTCGGGTATTGTACTGATTGTCATGCCATCAATGACTATGAACAACAAGAGGAGAGCAGTACTCCTAGTTCTAGGCCTGCTGGTGACCAAAAAACTGCGAGAAAGATGTCATTGTCATCTCCATGTGGGTCAGCAAGTGCAAGGTATGGCTACATATTATTTTGAATTTGATATTTCAACATTTTGTCATTGAATTGATGATGTTATGAAAATGCTGGATCATAACGTTGCCCAACAATACAGAGCAACTGAGGAGTCAAGTTTATCTCTCTCCCTGCCATCCCCAACCCCCTCTTCAATGTTGACAAAAATTCCCCAGTTCATTTTAAACAATTTATGCATTTCAACTACCAACACTTTCAGTGACCTGAGATATTCAAACTGCAAATCATGATTGTTGGGTTTGGTTGTATACATTGTGGTCTGGTAGAATAATTTTGTCAAAATTGAGCCTAGTGTTTCATTGCAATGAGGTTTCTTTCAAATAGATGAGTTTAGTCTTCAGATACCTAAGCACTATTCTTAAAAGTTTTGTCTTGCCTTTTTTCAGCAGACATTCTACACCATCTCCATCATCATCTGCTGCAAACTTTCACAAAAGCGAAAGCCAACATTATGACTTTGAAGATGATGAAGACTCTGAGGAGGATAAATATATAGATGATTTACTGAACAAATTCAAGCACAAAAATGGAAAGAAGAACAAGAGTGGAAGGAAAGCTCAGTGGGATGATAGCCTTTTATCTGACATGATAGACATTGTTGTCAGTAGTGAATACTACAAAAAGAAACTAATATTCACAAACACAAAGAATCAAAAAAATGGTGCCATCTATGGTAATGTGCTGGAGGAGCTCAAAACACGTGCAAGTGCAAGAAACGAGACAGTTCCTTTCACAGCAGTGCAGCTACGCAATAAATTCAAAAAGGCTGTTGCAGAGTGTAAAAAAGCTGCATTGACTATCAAGTCTGCAACTGGCATCAAAAGATTCCAGGATGAAAAGAATTATGGCCCTTGGTTCAACCAATTGTTTGGGCTTGTCAAGACACGGGATTCTTGCCAGCCAGAACAGGCCATTGAGCCATCTGCTGGTACTCCATCGCCACAAGATGACAGTCCTGAGAGCTCAGCATCAGTGCATTCAAATGAGAATATGTATGTGCCAATAAATCGATCAGGCAAGAAAAGAAAGAATGATGAGGTCTTACATGAGATTCTTGGAGTTGTAAAGAATATGCTGGAAAAAGATCCAATGAAAGATTATGTACAGTTTGCAAGAGAAGAAGCAGCAGCTGCAAGACAGCATGAGATGCGAATGATGCAAATGTTCATGGCTATGCAGCAGCCTCAACAATTACAGCAACCACAGCAACAGCAACAACAACTGTACAACATGCATGCCACTAATGCAGCAAGGTTGAACAGTAGTTTTTTTACAGACTATTTTGAGAGAGAAGCACAAGAAGATAATCATGCAAACTATTGAAGTTAAAGCTGTATTTTAGCAATTAACAGAAACAAAATAGAACGTAGCATACAAATTGAATAAAAGAAATGTGAAGTGTTTGGTGGGCTGCAATATTGTGTTAACCTAGATCATCATGAACCAAATTTTTCCATGCAGCCAAAAGTCTACCTTAGATCATAAACCTTTCCCCATTGAAATTTTTATTTTGATGCATTAGCTAAAAAAGCATTTTCTCTCTACGAGTCTTGCAAAAGTGATAAAATCCTTAACCGCTTCAGTATTTTAGCCTTCCCAAAGTTACAGGAACATAACACCACATGTACCTGTAATTTTAGTGAGGCTATGGTGCCAAAGGGGTTTGGTTGAAGGTTGACTCCAATACAAAATCTGACAGAGAAAATCTTTACATATCAGACTTATGAACTAAGTTAGACTTCTGGCTGCAGCTAGACAAATCTATTTCACAATGATGGGATGGCTAAATCTGATGTTACAGTCTACTATTTTTTTACTCGCCCAGTATGTTTACAAATGATTTAAGAAACTAAATGAAACTAAAACAGAGTGTAATACAGGCTTTTCATAAGCAATTCAAAAGAAACTCAACTTAATGCAGGCTTTTGCTTTAGTAATGGATGGAAAGAAAGTAAAATATGATACTCCCTTTGTATAAGTGAAGAAAAGAAGCTATAGAAAGAAAAAGTACAGCGGATCCAAAGAGGTCTGACTCATGCAAGTCTGACTGTCTGTTTTTGATAACAAACTTTTGGTTAGTGCAAAGTTGATAAAGCAATTCACTTTAGTGCAAGAATTATAATGCATTCTCTACTGATTTTGTGTCAAAAATGTTTGAATTTTGATCCTGGTCTTTTTACTCTGAGTTTCTTATGAAAACAACCTGACACTTTGCATATTAAGGGGCCATCCATAAAGTACAGAGAGGGGTGAAAGCAAAAGCATAAGGTGCATACAGGGGGAGAGGGGATTTGACAAGTGCGTACGTACACACTTTGACTGTTTGTAATTACAATATGTTATACAATTAAAATTTTTAAAATTGCCTCCATGAATTTCATTCAATTAATTCCATTGAACAAGATTACACATGAAAAATAGAGGGCTAAAATTTGGTAATTAACTGCATATGTACTTTATGGATAGCTCCTAACTGGTCAACTCAACCACTATTAATCAATAATTTTTGTCTTCTGTATTTCAAAACTTGTCTTTTACTTGTCAGTGTCTCTTTCCTTCTCTGCCCAAAATTTGGCTGTGAGTGTTGTTCTGATTTTATTGGCTTGCGAACATCCTTTAGGTTCAAATGATTGTTTTTGGGAAAAGCCAATGTGGAGGATGTCCCGAATTTGTTGACGATCTCTAGTCTCATTTGTATTGTGGTCAATGCTTAAATCCAACTTTCTTGGGATAGTGTCCCCCATCTCAAGACAAATGTTATGCAGTACCATACAAGCAAGTGTGTAGTTCTTGACTTCTGTATGGGCACTCTCGGATTTTCTCATAAGTATGCGCCACCTTCCCTTCAGTTGTCCATATGCACCTTCAACCACCATTCGGGCACGGCTAAGCCTGTAATTGAAATATCTTTGTGAAGGTGTCAAAACAGCATTTGTGTACGGCTTCATCAGCCATTTTTCAAAAGGAAAGGCAGAGTCCCCAATTATTAGTGGGGGTATCTGTACACCGTCCAATCTGTTGGTAAAATCGGGCAGAAATGAACCCTCCTTTATTTTTTTCCAAAGACAGGTTGACTGCAGAATAATTGAATCATGGGAGTTGCCAGGAAAGCCGCAACTGCCCCACAAAAATCTGTATTTGGCATCCACCATAGCCATGAGCACCACAGAATAAAAATTTTTGAAGTTATGGTACTCTTTACACGACTCTAGTCCCCCAGGGGGACATTTTATTGGAATATGGCAGCCATCTACAGCTGTCCAGCTGTAAGGAAACTGCCAAAGTTCTTCAGTGTCAAGCATTTTCTCTATAAACTCTTGACTTGTTTTTGGCATAAATTTGTTGATGCAGTCCTCCCACATGCACTCAATTATAGCCTCGCACACTTCCGAGACGATCATAGAAACTGTTGAAACTCCGACACCAGCCATTTCAGCAATTGTATACAGGTAATCACCTCGCCCAAGTCGATATAAACAAATTCCCAGCCGACATTCGGGAGAGATAGGCTCTTCACAGATTGTTTCCCTAACTAATCTGTGACAGATCTTCGAGAGGATGAACGCGAAAGTTGCTCTTGAAACACGGAAAGTTTTTTTAAATCGAGCATCTGAGTATGTACTCCAAACAACATTCCACCATCCTCGGTTACGGGGCAGTCTTCGGCATGTTCTCGTCGTTTTGATGCGGCCCATCGTCAGTCTCCTTGCCGTTGTCAACAATAATACAGCAAGCAATGCTACTTCGATTCTTCTTCTTCTGAGCTCTATTTCCTTTCTCAATCTTTTCTCGGCTATTCGCCGTTTCCTCTTGCTTTCATTCATCAACTTTCTCATAAAAATAAAATTTGTGTTGTTGGGAGCCATCTTGAAATATTTGAGATTGCGCGCCTCAACCAAGATACTTCATGTAACAATCCTAAAACCCATTTGGCGCGACATCATTAAGTTCGACGTTTGAAACGGGAGTCGCGCTAAACATGCTCAAGTGTCGCTCCAAATAGAGTTAGGTTCGGCACATGAGAAGCGCGACGTTTGAACCAGGCCTTATTCTACGACACCCACGTTCGATAAAAATCTCGTCGGCGAAGTTTAGTTTTCCCATCTAGGGGCGCTTCGTCGGCGAATTAAGGGTGTTTTAGCTACACATCCTCTTTGATACTGTGCTTTTTGTTCGGACGCCTCAACCTTTACACAATGTTCTTTGAAATTAATGAAGCCTTGTTGATTAAAAGCCTAGACGTCCATCCCAATGTGTTTACAACTTTAATTGCCTAATTGTACCCAATCTGTAATTTAGTTCTTGTTTTTATGTAATACAAAATATATATTGTTTCAAAAAGGAAATATGGTAGACTTCTCGTGTCTTTTACAGGTGCTAGACTTTTGATAGACGCAATTCCAGAAAACGAGACGTTAGAAACACTGGACATAACCATGAACCTTATAACTAAACACTTGCTAATGGAAATTGTGAAGGCACGAATGGACTCTCCAACAAGCAAACTGAAAATCATAATTTGCAGAGACAAAACATTCGCCAATGATAAAGAAATAGCAGATTATCTGTGCAACATGGCTCCAGCTGATGTCGACTTTAAGCTTGAACTTGACCATATTAAAATAAAGGATGACCCGAATGTTATTGAATGGCAGGAGAAACACAAGGAGGACCTCTGCGAAAGATTTCTTGCTTTCATCCGTGGGCGACGAATCAGAATGATGGATTTGTTTCAGAAGTTCGGGGCAAGCGGTGATTTGGTGTTGAGCGTAAACAAGTTTTGCCAAGGCTTAAAGAAATTGAGGAAGGAAATGAGAATTAGTGATTGGGAGATTCGTGACCTGGCGGACTATCTTCGAGGGAAAGATGGACAAATTCACTGCAGCTATTTAACCTCTCTTTGATTGGTTTAGTTCATCGTCTCTGGTAATCGTACAAATTCTTGGTTTTTGTATTGAAAATTTGTCAATCTTACTACCGTGTTTCCTCTAATAAACGCCGCCCTCTGATAAACGCCGTCCTTTATTGAACGCCGCACCTTCAGCCAACCATTTGGAAAAAACGCCGCGCTCTGATAAACGCTGCTCTCTGATAAACGCCGCCCTCTATTGAACGCCGCATCTTGAAAAGCGGTGTTCATTAGAAAACACACCCCTATTCGAAAGCTATGAAAGTTGTTATGTAATTGAGACGAGGACTCTGACGGAGACAGGGGTATTGACATTCCTTGACATTTTTTGTAAACTTTCAAAAATTGTTCACACAATCTTTAATACGTGTTTTGGGAAAAGAAAACATTTTTAAAGTCTGTTTTTATCTTTTTTCATTGCATTTTTCATTTGAAAAACTTTTCATTTTGTATTAAACGCCGCCCTCTGATAAACGCCGCCCTCTGATAAACGCCGCCCTCTGATAAACGCCGTCCTCTTTTGAACGCCGCACCCAAAATTTGGAGTTTGTAATAAAGGCCGCGGCGTTCTTTAGATGAAATACGGTATTCTTTCAATCAATTTTGAAACACTCTAATTGATCATCTTCAACGACTATGAGGGCAACCATTTCTGTCTTCCGCCCCTACAGTAAAACCATATAGCCCAGTGTCCCCTCCTGTGGCAATCTTTTATAATCAATGTTATATGTCCACAATCTCTAATTGCTAAGCTGTAAATCTAGGCCATCTATTGCTCAACATAACTACAGTGATGTACAAGATTTTATACACATGGTGGATAATCTCCCTGCCATATTATCTGAAAATTAGACTTCCTTCGACGAAGGTGCCTGTATAACAAACTCCGATTTTGAATAAAGGCCTTTAACTCGATCGTTTCGACTCTTGACAAGGACATTCTGAAATCAGTTCTTCATTGAAATCATTGTCTCTGGGGCATGCACTTGCAATATCCGATGGCCTTTAAGGAAACAAGTCCACGTGAGGCCGTCCCCTTGGGAAAATGCAAGGCGCTGGTATGTCCCCCACAGGCTTATCTGAATTCGGCTTTGTCTGAAAAGAGCTTTGGTACTGCAAGTGGAAGTCATAAAAACAAACTGCTAAGATAAGCCCGCGAAATAAGAACTTTATGCAAGACATGTTTTTGCAAAACATTCTCCAAGGTAAGCTGCATTAGTTCTTTGTTGTATTTCTTTACTGTTGTAAATGCAAAGTGGTAATTGGCTACTAAAACTCTAGCCATGAAAAATTAAACGATGCAACATCCATGCAACATCATTCTTTGCCTTGCGATGATATTTTTCCGTTTTATTGCGAGACTCTTTGATCATTCTTGAAGAAGTAACTGACTGTATTTGATGGCTTTTGTCGCAATATTTCGTTGGCTTTTTTGCAACCAGTTTTTCCCATTGGATGTTCCTCTTTGCCACACCGATGCATTTGACCGTGAAGAGGCCATCTACAATATTTTAGCTGCCAAAGCATACATTGATGTTTTGTATCGATTGCTTTTCGTTTAAGTTTCGCAATTGCCAGCTACATTTATCTCTGCTCAGAGACAAAAGGGCGTAGCCTTATGTAGCGGGGGCAGCACAAGAATGGAGGGAAAATGAAAGGGGCCTAGGGTGCATGATACTTGAGGGTATTTGGGGCAGTCAAGCTCATCCTAAACTATGAATCGTAAGGCCGCTCCTTGGCCTTGATGACTTTTTTAAGACATACTAACCAGAAAATACCGCTGGTTGATTGATATTACCAATTATAGTTCTACTTTTGTTGAAACTCTGACTTCCATGATGTAGATAGCAAAAAATGATGATAAAAAAGAATGAAAAACTAAAATAAATGAATCTCTAAAGATATTATTATAAAAGAATACATTCAAAAGACAACAGCAAAAAATTATTAATAGTAAAGCTTTAAATTTTTTCAAGCAAATTATAAAAAACCCACTAAATTATGACTGAATCTAAAAACAAAAATGGTGTCTATGCTTTCAAAAATCATTATTACCTTTTTTTGGTAATTTATCTGGATTGCACATGAAAAAATACTGCCCAATCTCGGTGCTTATTTCAGGTTTCTAAATCAGCAACACTTTTTTCTCAAGAGAGGCATTTCTTCTTATCCAGATAAATGGCACGCATCGAATTTGGCAGCAAAGTGGGAAACGTGTGCCCACGGCTTCTAGGTCACTGTCTTTTGTCCTGAATAACAACCGTTACAAGACGTATAAATTTGGGTAGGGATTGATTTGGCACTGACCCATAATATCAAATTCTGTTGTATCCTTAGTCGCGTATTTTAAGGTTTTGAAAAATAGCTATAACCTTTTCGACTTAAGCTAAATCTCTCTCATTTCTCAAAAACTATATTTTATCTACAATGATATATTTTGAGAATCGTTCTCTTGAATATAATCTTTTTCCTGGATTTACCAAAAAACAATATAATTCGTAATCACCCTTGGATTCCATTGGCAATATTTTCAATAGGCAACCTATATCGATTGAGTAACCTTGACAGTCATGGGCTTGCGTTTCTCATCAGTACTTGTTGTATATGTCTATTTTCTTTGAGTTTTCTATCTATATTCTGACAATTTCAGCTCAGAAGAGTGTTAGACAAAAAAGCTTCAGTATGATTCAAGATATTTTCTTTTTCAAAACCATTTTCATAATTCTTTCAAGCAGCCTCTTTGCGAATTGGAAGGATATATGAATGGTGTTCAGTCAGGGTTAAATATAGTATAGAGATTATTGGAAGTTCTTTTGTACGGTGTTAAGAGTCGTGTACGGTGGAACGAGTTGGGGAAGGAAATAAGATTTATGTTTGTTAGAAGTTTTCTTGAACGGTGTTAAGAGTCATGTTCGTGTATGGTAGAGAGAGTCGTAGAAAGTGGTAGAATTCATGCTTACGTGAAGTTCTCTTGTTAAGCGATAACTAAGAGTCATGAATAGTACACAGAGTCATAGAAAAGTGTGGTGGAAGTCAAGCTTACTTAAATGCAGCGTGTGTGGTGTTTTGTAATAGGTGCTGTGTGTTTCAGAAATGCTGTAGGGTTCCAGAAATATCGAACAGTTACCGAATTGGCATATGATAATGGTTCACACAGTAGGTACATGTTTATTTTGAGCCAAAAGTAGAATGAATGTATAGTATACAAAAATCGTATAAGAATCATATCGTCCATTTCTATTCAACAATAAAATCCAAACCACTACGAATTCGTAAACTCTCCAAAGAAAACGTGACAAGAAGCTTTATAAATCTGCATCTCCTAAATTGACGGGATTTTGTGTTTGGTTAGGTGGGGTTGGCAAAGGTTTTAATGAAAACGTCATTATTTTGCGCCCGTTAAGCGGTTGTACTGGCCTAAAATTTCCACACATCCTCTGGTGGTTGCCTTGCAGCATCCTCCGCCAGTTGTCCAAAATTGCGTTTTTCACTTTAACCGGTCTTTGAAAGACCATCCAAATAACAGACTCAAAACATGGCGGTGCTGGCAATGATCCTTTATATCCGAACCACTTCAAATTCCTAATACCTTCTTTCAATGCCGGGACAAGATTGATAATTTGAATCCCTGCCTCGACAACTGCTTTTTCTTTGGGAATCCTTAACTCTGTCAGAAGCTGGTTTATCTTATTCATTTCTGAATTTTCCACACTTTCATCTACATCTAGGAAAAATGCAATGGCCAAAAGTCCATCAGGAGCTTGAATCACATTCTCCATTGTGCTGTACTTGTCATTGCTGAAGACAAAATGAATTTCGCCAGGAAAACGCTTCCCGTCAATTGAATGTTCAGATCCACTCTCATTCTCGCAACCAAAATGAAAGTGAAACTGTTTCAGCGTGTACAAACCTCTAAAAGCGATCTTTATTGGAGCAATTTTTGAATCAACCCCAAACCCGAGTGCCCTCCCGTTATTCTTCAATGTTCCTTTGACTGTTAAATTATCGGCCTGACTGAGAAGAATAAACTTGATGGGAAATGTAGGCCCACTGTGCTCTTCGGCATTGGCAGTGACAATATCTATCGGAGATTGGCGTTGGCCTGAACATCTATCAGATAGTAAATGCCATTTTTCTGGTCCATAGGATTCATCACTTGATTTGTAATCCCATGAAGCTTTGGAGACAATGTCTTTGGTTGGTTTCTTGGATGGTGCAGCAGTTGTTGCTAAAGGAACTGTACTGGTAGGCTTCGCGTTGGTAGAGTACGAATTGGTTGTAGGCCGCTGGATGGTAGTTACTGGTTTTGAAGTTGGAAGCCCTGGTATGATTTTGACAGAGGTGTTTTGGTCGGCTTTTGAGCTGGATAGGGACGAGATGTAGGCCTGCGGGTGGTGATCCTCGCTGTATTTCGTTGATGCTGCGGCGCTAGAACTCACAGACACTTGACAATCCACCAGTGCGTGCAGCATTAGAAATACTTGGAAGACTGCTGGATAAAATGTGTACATCCTTTGGAAACTCTCCATCCACCACCTGAAAAAATATCGCTGGAATAAATAAATGAATTCGGGTTACAGGCTATCTGCTGATGTAGCTCTTAACCGTATAAAAACCTCACTTAAAAAGATTTTCACCGGCCTTGGATCAATGTCGATTGGAGTTAATTAAGGAAAAAGAAATATATGCCAGAGAATCAACAGACCCGTGTGTTCAACAGGTTTCAGTCTACTATATCTCTGAAGTTGCCTCAAAAATCGGCTTTAAACAGCAACTACCTACAGAGGGGCATATTCTAACCATCCATAAAAGTGAAAGCTAAAGTTTAACGTATAAAAGATCTAAGGCTCCTTTCCTATTGAAGAGGTATTCTGCTTCTATTGACTTACATCTTTGTATTCTGGAAGAAGTAGGCCATGGTAATAAAGAAATTTGAAACTATTTGAAGACTTCAAGCTGCATTATTTCGAAAAGGGTAAAATGAGAGACTAAACAATGGGGGAAAATGTTTTCAAATTTATGTGCACCTTCTCCCAGCCTTTAAGGTTGAAGTCAAAACATTTGAACATTTGGAGAGACCCCTCACTTTTCCAGGCCATACATACTGGTTGGTTTACCTCCTACCATAAGAATAACATGATTTCTCTTTCAATGTTATTAAATCCAGTTTTAATATAATGACCTGTGGTAGCCTGCAATGATCCTTCCTAAGCCCTTTTCTGTTCATAATATATCTTGGTGACTTCAAAAAGAGTTTTAAAGCTTTCAAAAGTTGCAATGATACACATGCCACTTTTGCATCCGAAAATTGCAAACAATTAATTCAAAATAAGCAATATGAATTATAAAACATCTTGAAATGGATTAGACAGACTGAAAAACGTAACCCAGAAACCCAAGAGAACTGAATGAATGGTCATTAACATTCGACAAAAACTAATAAATTGAGATAGCTCATGAAATGATACTAAACGACTTGGAAATAAGATCAAGCTGCCTGGCCTAATTTTTAATCAAAACGTTCGTTGGAACGATCAATTTAAAAACAGTTAGAGCAAAGTCAAGTGGCGTAGCATGTCTAGAACATTTAAAGACATTTTACCACGAACACAACTATGTGGCTTGAACTATGCATTTGTTATATTCTTAGGCTTTTTATGGAGTTTTATCACAATCTTAATTTGAGTCTCTCCGAAATTTTTTGTAGCAGAACCTACACAATGATTGAATATGCCAAGATGAAAGACAAATAGTCAAGAAACTAGTTAATGGTAAGTAGACTAACTAGTTTTGACCGTTCAGCCATGATTTATAAAATTCTAAACAAGCTATATGCTGAGGGCTTGGCGAACCCCAAGCGAGACCATGGAACAAATACCATAAAATGACATGCACACAATTTACAGAACAAGGAACGGTAAGGATCTGTCCAGTGGCGGGATTTTGGAGGTTTTATAAAATCATGTTTGTATTTTAGCTGCATAGTTATTTACAATAACTGTTTATACAATACTCTGTTATGTATGTATTTGTTGATTGGCCTTTTTTTCTAATTCCTACACAAAATGTATCCGAAGTCAGAGGTTAATTTACAGAGCAACGTCCAATTCTGGGAAGTTTATATACCTGATGGGAATATCATGTACGTTCAAACAATAACTAGCGAAAAAGAAGAATAGTCGAAACAGTTTTTGTCTGAGAATAGTTGAAAAAGAACGGTGGAATTGGAAATAACATTTGTTTGCTCAACAAGAAACATGTCAATGAAGAATATAACCGACTTACATTTTGACAGCTGTTTAGCTTTTCATATTAACGCTGTAGCTTGATATATCGTGATAATTTCTAGTCTGTCAAGGATGCCTAAACACGCTTTATTGTCGTCAGCCAGTAACCGTAAATGATTGACAAGTACCTAGAAAGCATCATAATCAAATTTACAAGCAACTTCACCAACAAATTGCAAATGCCATTTTATTTATTGCTACGGTTACGGTCGATAAGACACGACTCGATAAAACACATGAGTAAAACTTTCCTATGTTATCCATAAATTCCATATAGTTAAGCGTATTTATATGTTGGTACAAATTAATAATTTTTGATAACGTTTTAATAACGAATTCTTTATTACCTTTTCCAAAGAGTTCAGTTTGATTTTGGTCCATGCGCAGGAGCAGGCAATTTGAAACCCTGGACTGGACTGTAACCTCGATAACGGTGTTTGATACTCTGATACGACGCTTCTTAGAATATTTGGATTGATTGGATAATTCAGTTAGATACCATTATCTCTTTTGATCCAAGACTATCCGAAATGTTTCACCAATCAAAAGCACGGAAGCACGACTAGCTAGGCCGTCAAAAACAGCATTCGTCCTGGCTTTCCAGGCTTGAAATAATTGTGAATTGTTAACATTTCTGGATGTAGTCTTGGCTTTCCAGGTGTTGTTGAAAAATTGTTATGGTTCTCATAGTTAAGTGCTGGTAACGGCAATCTAATTATAGGCGAAGCCCAGTATTAAAAAAATGGCCTGTTTGATCAACATGGGAAAAGTCAACATCCAGTATTTTTTGACATCTAATGATGATTGGTTCTTATATCAGAGCAAGAGCCATACACATATGCTCCTCTGAAGCATATGCCACTCATTGTAAGAGAAGTCAGTAGGGACGTAGAGACTAGCGTAAACACAGCCTTTTTTGAGCGACTTCATGAGGGGAAGAGGGAATGGATGGGGAAGGGGAGTTGCGTCAGACCTTTGTTATTCTAAAAAGATAAGAATCTACTAAATATAAAAATGTCACCAGGACAAATGCGGTAATTGCCTTACGGTATTTCAAAAGGTCTTGGCATATCTCCTCTTCTCTTCCATACAATCTTGAAGACTTTAAAGAATTATCAATTCTGAGTTATAGCCAAACATCCCTTACAGAAAATTGAAACAACTAGAATATAACAATTAAGATATCCATCCATCAATTTTAAACTCATTCTGTCATAATATTCCATGAGCCACACGTGCCCTTCTCTATAATAGTTTTGTTTGGTTTCTACCAGTTTCTGTTCATAAGTCCATATAAACACATGAAAATGCCATTGGTTAACATTGTTTAGATGAATCAATTATTTGAACTGTACAAATTTGATATAATTGTACGCAGCTTCAGTACGAAATGAAACGTAATTGTTCAAAGATATCCCATTTTTGGCGGCTTAAAATTTGGTATTTTGACAAACCACAAAGGACTGAAGACTTTCTTACCGGCAAAAATTCACAAATGGTTTTATTTTTGTTACTAAACCATTCTCTACTTGTTTCCTAGCACTAATACTGAAAATATAACAAAGGACAATTTTTAGTGCTAGAAGGCATCCTTCATATCAAATTCTTCTCTAGAAAAGATTATGATTTGAATAAAGTACCACATAAAAGAGGCAAATGAAGTAGTTCAATTAGCCCTTTAAATAGCACAAAATCGATCAAACTATAACATAAAATCGATGAAAATATAACAAAAAAAAGAAAAACAAAACACATAGGCTTTGCATTGCACATAACAAAACCTTAAAGAGCACTTCTTATGATCACATTTGTGGCTAAAAATCTTAATGTCATTATACATTAGCGTAACCGGTATTGCAGAGGTATCCAACTAGCAAGAAGATCCATTAAAAGAGACAGCACAGAACAATCTTGTAAATATAAACATTTCATAGCTCTTATATTTCATTCTATAATACAAGATAATAGAATTAAAGTTAAGTTGATATATTTTGCAACAAATGTAGCGCAACATTGTGTTTTCAGTTCATAAGGTATAGTGAACCATTCCATCTATCGACCAGCTCCAATCACACCTTGATTAATCCAGGACTAGATTTCTCATATACACACAACAATTAGAGGTGCTAGGAGTCTTTCACTTGTCTTCTGTACATAGTGATGGATGCCCTCAAATATGGTTGAATATTGTTTTCAATCTTAAACCAGATCGCCTTTTACCATATACTCAACATGATTTGAAATTGCAACAAGTGGGTCTTTCTTATAATCCGGTAGCTGAAGAACCTTTTTAAATAGATTTATGTCATTCAACCTAAAAATAATGATATGAATAGATAAACTCTTTAGAGGAAGGACAAATAAAAACAATGATCCTCGGGTAAATAGCTTTAGAATGTGCAACTATTCATAAAAATGCAATTTTCACCTAAGATTTGCACATAAATGATAGCAGATCGGTGAAGAATGGGGAAAGTAAAATCACCCACCCCATTTAAATTTTTATAAGATGCAGGTCACCTAGTTATTCTAAAATTCATAAAAATTGTTGGGTAGGGGATGCATCAAAAATCATATTTAATAATGGAAAATAGCACCTTAGAAGAGAGCTGCTCTGAAATAATACAACAGAGGGGCATTTGTATACGCCTTAAAACGATAATCAAGACTCTTGCCCTTGGACCCCTGTTACCCAAATATCAAATATCAGCTGGCACCTAGGAAATGCCGATTTATGAATAAGGAGCAAAATCATTAACAGAAGCTTTTTTATATAAAGAATTCACGAGAAAGAACAAGTCAGAAAGAACCTACTAGGGACCTACTGCAAGAACTAAACTACCTTTATAAGCGAATGGTTGCTATCTTATACAATCTGTACTGTTCTTGCATACCTGTACTATCCAGCTATCCTCCCCTTGTTTATCATACTGGCTCTTCATTCTTAGACAAAGGCAATGATCTATCAAAACCTTACAGCAATGAATAAAATGTGGAATTTAGCCAATTTTAAGATTTAATATTTCGATACTTACTCTTCTTTTCGTTTAGTTCTCCATTTCTTATCATTCCAGTTCTTTGACTTTAGATTTGCTTTTTGGCTGGAAAAATTCAAGAACTATGAATTTATATACTACACTATAAATTATATAATTGTTATAAACTACCAAGACGAAAAAAAATTCCCTTGCTTTGGCAGAATAATTAGGTATTGTTAACTAAAAAATTTTGAAAAATATCTATACAATTGTGCAAACATTATAGAGACCCATGAAAGCTAGATGTTTGCCACAACAGACTGGGATTAGTTTCTTTACTTCAATTTTATGAAATAACGAGGATTACAACGTCCATCATTTAAAATTCCCTTACTCCTATGGCTATATACAATATCAAACATATTTGAATGCTAGAATGGCTCAGTGGTAAGAGTTGCTGGTGGTAGATCAAAGGGTTTGTGGTTCGCGCCCCTTACGTAGAAATCACGAGAGGTGGTCATAACCAGAGGAAAGACCAGAATATTGGTCGATAAAACATAGCTTCACAGTGTCCCAAAACTACCTTTGGTTGCCACGCAACGAATACAAATACAACACAACGCAACGCAACGAATACAAATACAAATATTTCGAGGCTCGAAGATAATAATGATGTCTATACTGATGTAGCAAAAAATGAAAAAAAAAACATTCTGAAATTTAGTGGATTCCATTTCATAGCTGCAAAGTTTTCAGCCAAGTTAGGTGTGGTATTTAAGTCAATCAAACTTCAAGTGGAAACTTTTACATTAAGTCCTTGGAACCTACAAGATGACCTTGCAGTTTAGATTTCAAAATTAGCAATTGGAGAGTTGCATTTTGTTTCTTGATTTATAATTGTGGCTAATTTTCCTAACGTAGGATTGAAATGCTAGGATATATGATACATGTGTTAATTTGATGGAGCTTAAAATTTCTTTTGGTTCAGCATACTGCAGAAACGTGCACACTTGGAATCCATTTATTCAATAGCAAATGACCTCTACCTGGAATAGTCCAAACTTTAGGATCATTGAATTTGACATATTAAGGCCTGGTTTTGCACAGTAATCATTAATAATTTGAGTTATTTTTCTAGCTAGTAGCTTGTTACGAAATTTTAGAAGATGATAGCACAGGCTTTTCCTGGGTGTTTACCGTATAGTGGTTTGATCATAATATATAATGATGAAATTGCTAAATTGTTCATCAACCAAACTATTTGATAGAAGATTTGTTAAAAAATGAGTTTTAAAAGCCCTTTCTACTGCAAAATATACTGGAAGTTGGGCAAAAGCACTTCATTTCTCCTACCATCTACCCATTTTATCACAGCATTGTAGATACAATTTAGGATTTGAACCTTTTTGTTTCAGAACATTTGCTTTAGAAGATTGGCATGGTTGTGAATTGGTTGTTGTATTACAGTAAAATGCAAGGAGGTTTTAGTAGTATTTCTTCTTTTGAATTGCAAAGTAGATGGCATGGCTATGGGTCTGCCATATGTTTGTGTGTAAGGTATAGTATTGCTAAGCTGGGTTAAATCTTTCTTAAGCATTTTGCTCAGAACTCAGAGAGATGTCCAAAACTAATATAGACATCCGAATTCCATTAAACATAACATTCTAATCAAAAAAGCAAAAGTGATAAAATTTTTTTTTTAATGCAAGATACATATAAAATGCCACAGCTTACTTTGTTGTGTTGCTAGCAGTTGCAATTGGTGCTGGTATTTCTGGAAGTGCATCCATCAATGGTTGGATATCCCCAACAATAGCAACTTGTGATCTTTCTTTTGCTTTCTTTGATCTTTCTTTTAGGGACCCCGATGACTTAACCTCTGCAAAGAAAAGTAGTAAAACTATAGACAAGAAATCTATGAAAAATTATCAAACATAGAAATGAATATTATACAAAAAACTTGCACTAAATAAACCAAAACTTGGCATTCAGCACAATCCATCTCTGAGACCCAAAAACTTTTCACTAGAATTTTAATTTAAGATGCAGGATATAAATGTACATTTAACTCACTTTCTAGCAATGTTTCTTTTCTCTTCTTTCTTCTATCTTTCTTTTTCATAACTTTTGATGTCTGTGTATGGCTGATCTTAATATCTTCTGTCACTATCTTATTTTTTGTTATTGGATTATCCATGATACTCTTACCAGAGTTATCACCATCACCCTCCAAAGAAAAAAAGGTTTACAATACATGGCTTAATACAAAAATATAGTGTCCTGAAAATAACTATCACCCAGTCTCTCATTCTGTGCTTGTTGGCACATCATGTCTTTTATTTCTACAGAACTGCAAAATTGGAAGATAGAATGCAAAAAAATGTGATAACGCCAATATTGGGGTAAATGAGATATATAATTGAGTCCCAACTAAGGAACTTATATCTAAAGGAACTTGCAAAAATAAGGGTTCATGGGACTCTAATGTTTCACTAAAGTTTAGTTCCAGATACACAGGGCTTCATTCAGAGGCATGGTGGGAATTTTTATTGGCCGGGGAAAATCAAGTTTTTAAGGGGCACAACATGCTGACTATTTCTTGTTGTCATCTTTTATGATATTTGGAAATGAGTGTCGCAGAGGCAGCATGGGGCCTTACTTTACTTGTCTTTTCTCACAAATCTGATGTTACATATGATAAAAGCTTAAAAGAAAGAAAAATCCAAGGGGCCCACAGAAAAGGTTTTAAGGGGCCTACTGGGGCATTTCCAGAGTCCCAGTGGGTCACCATGCCCCTGGTTCCATTTCAGATCCAATCAACTTTGGTAGACTTTCCCAAAATCTATTTAATAGACTTTTGATTCTTGTAGGCTTACAAATAATTAATGACCTCATACAATTGGAGCTGGACCACATTTGGCTTGGCGCAGTACTCATCTTTCAAAAGGCCATTCAATGTTGTTTACAAACAATACACTAGAGACGGCTGTTGTTATGGTACCCGGAATCCAGGAGGTTCAAACACAAAGTTACTAAATTGAAAAGCCTATGTGTCAACCAAAGAAGTCAATTGAAAATTGTTTAGAAAAGTGTTGGGTAAAGGAAATAACTAGAATCTATCAAGCGCAAACATTATAAATGACATTGACAATAGCACAAAAGAAAAATGACGAGTGATCAGCTAAAAAGGCTGTATAAACTGGCGAGTGATAGTACGAAGTAGAGGAGGTTCTCAAAAATATCATAGTAGGGAATACACTTAATGTTTGAAGATAGTTAAAAAATTGCTGAATGTTTAGTGAGAAGAGCTGCCTGAGGCTTTTGTAACATCTATGAATAAGTCTGGGTGTTAATTCCTACATCCTTCAAATGACTTCTTTGCAGGCGGTAACCCCCAGAACTAAGAGCAGAACTAATGAGAATAGTGTGGGCTAATTAATTATTCATAAGCCAACAAGAGTCAAAAGTCTACTTTCCTTTGCCTTCCTTCTATCTACTCCTCTGCAGTTCAGATATGCCCTCAAGAAGTATGAATGCCTTACAGATTTAACAAAAATAGACTTTGGGAAAGTCTACTCCAAGCATGGATCTAGCTAAAATTTTGAGTGGTTTTGTGCTTCCCCTGCTTTCTCTTGGAACATGAATATTGCCACATTGAATATTCCAGTACTGAATATTGGCATATGAATGCTCAATAGACCAATTCGACTTACGGCCTCGTTTTGGAAATTTCTCCAAATTTAATTATACGACTTTTTTAAGCTCAGATTTTGTTTTATCACAATCGATTTAGGCTGGATACAATTTTTCATTTTGTTTGTGCTTGTAACTTAGATTTTATGGAGAAATGAAGTTTGAAAACTTGACCGCAAAAATCATTCCGGGTGAAACTTTATCCCCCTAGTTGCCAATCACGGTCAAATCTCGTATAAAATTTTTATCTTTATGTCATCATAAAATCAATATCGTAAGCAATACTAAAATGAAAATTTCCAAGTAGACTAAAATCAGTAGGTTAAAAATTTTGTACAAAAGAATTTGAAGATTTTTCAAAAAAGGGGCCATAAGATGAATTGGTCTATATAATCTTTTTCTAAGCCCTGTTGATTTATGTATAGTTTATATTACTATCAATATGTAAGTTTAGGTACATTACTGCATTAGTTTGGTGTCTAGTGTGTCATATGTATGGCATTTCCTAAAACACCCTAAAAGATTTGTGTGATTTGCAGTAAAAATCTGAAATTTACAGTCTTCCTGAGAACTCAGGCCTTCAAATCTTAATTTAACTTAGGGTTGCAATATAGAAAATTTATATGTTGAAGGTGCTGTATCTCTTCTGTAAGATTTTGCATATTAGAACTAAGTTCTTGGAGATTTGCTAGATATGTCAATGATCATGTACAGACCAACTGAGATGGGAGGGGCAAGGAGAGCAATTGTCCCTGGGCCAGTAAGCAAAAAGGTACCCACTGGTAATCAAGCTCCATACAAAATGCATTTTGGGTTGCTTGCTTTGGGTGGTGAGAAGGGGCCCATCGGGCCTGCCCCTGGGCCCGGCTTGGTGTAGCTTTCGGCTGCCCCTTGAGCTATGAGAATCACTAACCGATTCTGACCCAAGTGCTCAAGTTTTAAATAACTTTTGTTAGGAATGACCACGTGGTGTGGCCGTAATAAGTAAGTAGATATAAAGTTATGGTTTTATAGTTGCTAGGCAAAGTAATTGATTAAGGAGGGAAGAAAACGAATACCAAGTACCATACCATCTGTTGATCTGCTGAAGAAAATTCATCCTGAGGATTATCTTCTGGTTTGACTTTTTGTTTTCTCTTTATATTTCTTGCCTTCGGCTTCCCCATCTTGTTTTCCTTTTCTCCTCGTGTTGTTGCTGTTCCCGCTGTTAAGTTTGCTTCCGCTCCTTCGCAGTTACTCGGATTATCAAAAACAGAGTGCTGGTGAAGGTTTAGAATTTTTTAAATTGTGATGTGTGTGATGCCATTTTCGCATAACTTGTTTTTGTTCAGGGGTTTGCAAGTTCTCTTTCCAGCTTCATATGCAACAAACATGCATCAGTCGTACACATCACAATCCAAAAACAAACTAACCTTCAAACTTGGCTTTAATCGTCCAGATAGCTTTCATCCATTAGCTTTCATCCTCAAGAATAGTGTCAATTTCTTACAGAGGTGAAGACATTTTAGACTGATTGCAATTAACTAAGAAACATCATCTGGAGCTATCCAAGTATGTGCTAACCTTGGTACATCCATATTACTTCCATGATGCTGATTTGTTTATTTCTAATTTTTTCCCTTCTGTGTGAGTTTTGATGCAGTAAATATCTCACCTTTTAAGGGTAATACAAACTTTTCACTGCTTCTCACTAAAGTAGCATCAATCTCCTTCCTTTGAAGGGTGCTAGAAATTCTATAAAGTAAGTCCTTTCAAAGAAATTCCATATACCTTTTTGTTCCTATCTGGAATGCCTGACAAAATGTTTAGTTTGATAATCCATGTTTCTATTGTTCGGGCTATTTTGAAATTGTACATTATGAAGTAGTTTTTAAGTTATTTATACCCAATCCTAAGGCTGACATATGAATTATGTATGCCAAGATTAGTACTGTTCTTATTGACGTGACATTTTTGGCCTTATTGGAATAGTTTAACTCTCTCCAAAGGACGAAATCCAAAACAACTTTGCAAAGTGGATAACAATCATGAAGTTGAATAAAGGAAGGAAGTTACCATTTATTCTCATAGTAACCGACTGTATTTGACACTTAAACTCACCAAATTAGGTTGGTCTTCAAACGAAACAGAAATGATACTAAAAAAATTTCAGTGGAGAAGGGTAATCTTAGTACAGTTAATGAAATCCAAGTACAGGTTTACAAAACATTAAACAATTAAAAAATGAAATGGCTGTTGTAAAAAAGGTTCTTACTCATATTTATAAATGTTGAGAGGTTTATATGCAAATAGCTGCTATTACAAATCATTATTCTATATTCAGTTTATAAATAAATTAATTAGGAAATACAAAAAACTAATGAAATACAATCACTGATTACAACATGGATTATTTTGTGCTGGGGGCCTTTTATTCATATTTTCTACATTTTGAACAACAATGGGTGTCTCTGCAGCAGCCCCAACTTGGTTACGAATCTTCTCTAACTGAATTTTATGAACCTTTTTAATTGTCTCTGTGAAGGCAGCCTCAACATTTGTTGCCTCTAGGGCTGAAGTTTCCGTAAACAGCATGTCGTTTTGTGTTGCGAATTCTTGCGCATCTTCGATATTCACTGCTCTAAGATGTTTCAAATCACTTTTATTCCCAACCAGCATCACAACAATGTTTGGATCAGCATGTTCTCTAAGCTCTGTTAACCATCTTTGGATATTGGTAAAACTACGTAACTTAGCTATGTCATAGGTGACCATTGCCCCAACAGCACCCCTGTAGTAAGCACTTGTTATTGCTCTGTACCGTTCTTGACCAGCGGTATCCCACACCTAACAATACAAAAGTTGTTTAATTGTTTAGCAACTCAGACTTTGTTAGATGATTTTTAGAATATGAAATTATATAATTATAAACACACACATGCCAAATCCGAGCAGCAACTTAGAACCCCCTGTTCTATAGACAGCAACATAGACTTAAAAGATTAAATTCATGAACGTTAAAATGGCAGTCTGCAGATGTAAGAGCAATTTGGAATGTGTCAATTTGTGCAAGAGGGCTGGCCTGACCTGACATTGTGTGCAATCAGTTTGCAATGTTTCCAAAAAGGGTTGCCCTTGAATTTATAATTACCTACACAAATGTATGTATAGTTCTACATTTTGGTGAGCATTAGAAAAACCTCGGAATAAATGTGTGCACACGTCACATTATCAGACTGATTAAAACAATGAAAGCTACAATTAAAACATCTAAAAACTATTCTTGCCTCGAAGAAGGGGCGTTTCCAAGGTAGGCTGCTCTGGAGATGTCCCAGAGTAGCCCTTTCAAAAATTCCCTCGTCTTGTATCCATAATCAAAAGTATTTCTAGAATTCCAGTAGTTTTGCAGTTACAACGCCTACCAAAAACTTCGTAATTTTTCACACAACCTTCACCCAGAAAATAAGTGGAGTTCAAATTTATCAGCAGAACGGGTGGCAAAGTTATAAAATTGTTTGAAACTGTGTTCTAAATAAAATTCTGCAGCTGCAAAAAACTAATTACCGCCCGGTTTTGGCAGAAGTGAAAGAGATTAAATTTGTCTCCGCCTACCTGGGCCTTAACAATTTTATTGTCAAGTTGGATGCTTCGAGTAGCAAATTCAACCCCAATCGTCGATTTAGACTCTGAATCAAACTCGTTTCTAGTAAATCTTGAAAGCAAACATGACTTTCCCACTCCTGAGTCTCCGGTCAATACGATTTTGTACAAATAATCATATTGATCCTGTTTTGACGACGCCATCTTCTTGCAGACTTGGCTTGTTTTGTTGTATTTTGTGCGCAAGCGCGCGCCGGTTTTCAGTTTCGAAACCGACTGACAAAAAATCGGGGGACGGGGAAGTTGTTTGTGAAAGGAAAGAGAAAATATTTTCGTCTCTTCTATTTTTTCCCCAACAACAACAAAAAATGTGTAAAAGTGTTGAAAGATAGATCAAATTGTTTTCAAAAATCGAATATTTAATGAAATTATGAAAAAATTGCCGTTGTACACAGTAAAAATTCCGTGATCGCTAGTTACGAGGCCATTCCCAACCCTTTATATGATTAGGAAAGAAGGAGAAGGTGCAGGCAACTAACTGCTATTAAGACAGCTTTAATTTAGCTTTAATTAGCTTTAATAATTAAATGTAAAATTAAGAAAGCTTTAATTTCACATTTGTCAGTCATATGTAACTTTTTGTGTAGAAAAGAGAATGATATGGCGTCATAGAAGACCCGGTTGCAAATGCATGAAAATTGACGGTTACATTTTTAATGAGTTGTCATTTTTAATGGTGGGTAAAAGGGTGAAAAAAATTTGGAGACAATCTAGAGAATTGCTACCCAATTCACTGAATCAAATAATATTCGAATCCAAATTCAAAAAAAAGAAAACATTTAATACCCCAAGAATTTTCATTCCGTGTCTTACATCCAATTATTTCCTTTTCGTTATATCAGAATCCAGTCAGGCCCGTAGCCAAGGGAGGTGGCATTGGCTGGCAAGAGAATATATGCCGCAGTGAAATATTAGTATTCGTTTTATTTAATCTGTTTTGAATTACATTGGATTCTCGTCACTATTTTGCTTTGATCCTGAACTTTATTAATGAAACAAGGATAAAAAAATTCATTCCCCTCCAAAAAATTTTCAAACCCAGTTCCAAGCATGCAAAATGACAACTCCATTACAGCAAAAATCATTGGAAATTTACCACGTAAAATTATGAAAAATTATCTTTTTTCGTTAAAGATTTCAGGGCCTAATTTAGTGTGGCTTTTCCCCCATTTTGTGGTCTTGGAAATCGAAAATGTGGCCTTGGAAATTCAAATTTGTGGAATGGGTTTTTCATCTTAGCTATATTTTTGTAATAAATATGTTTTTCTGTTGATAGAGTTTTGAAACTTCATAACATAACAGAACAGTACAAAACATCCATGAATCGAAGCGAAAGTTCCTTGGTCCAGTTTAATTGGTTCCAACAAGAGCGAAAAATGTTACAGCCAATCAGCTTTATGCTCTCAAATGGTGTAAAAGCCAATCAGAGCTTGTAAAAAACCCCCGAGTCTAGCGACAATTACAACAATTGTGGCCAAACAGCCACCAAGCTGCGTGAAAGTGCACTACAAACTTCGAACTGCTGCAAGCGAAATAATCTCAAGGCAAAATAAGTCTATGATTTTTTCAATATGTAAGGGTCGTTCTAGATTTTCTTCGTGCGCATTTTAGAATTACGCTCCTAAACTGGATATATGACTGCATAAAGGTAGCCTAAATCTCGGCCTAAACTCGCCAAACTTTTACTCTGTTAAATAATTGCACAGGGGGTTATTGTCATTGATTTTTTATATCGATTCTCTATATCATCCTTTAAGAATAAAACCCCTGTAAAGTTAAAGAGCGAGAATGGAGATATGACTGCATAAAGGTAGCCTAAATTCGCCAAACTTTTACTTTGTTAAATAATTGCACAGGGGGTTATTGTCATTGATTTTTTATATCGATTCTCTATATCATCCTCTAAGAATGAAACCCCTGTAAAGTTAAAGAGCGAGAATGGAGATATGACTGCATAAAGGTAGCCTAAATTCGCCAAACTTTTACTCTGTTAAATAATTGCACAGGGGGTTATTGTCATTGATTTTTTATATCGATTCTCTATATCATCCTTTAAGAATAAAACCCCTGTAAAGTTAAAGAGCGAGAATGGAGATATGACTGCATAAAGGTAGCCTAAATTCGCCAAACTTTTACTTTGTTAAATAATTGCACAGGGGGTTATTGTCATTAATTTTTATATCGATTCTCTATATCATCCTCTAAGAATGAAACCCCTGTAAAGTTAAAGAGCGAGAATGGAGATATGACTGCATAAAGGTAGCCTAAATTCGCCAAACTTTTACTCTGTTAAATAATTGCACAGGGGGTTATTGTCATTGATTTTTTATATCGATTCTCTATATCATCCTCTAATAATGAAACCCCTGTAAAGTTAAAGAGCGAGAATGGAGATATGACTGCATAAAGGTAGCCTAAATTCGCCAAACTTTTACTTTGTTAAATAATTGCACAGGGGGTTATTGTCATTAATTTTTTATATCGATTCTCTATATCATCCTCTAAGAATGAAACCCCTGTAAAGTTAAAGAGCGAGAATGGAGATATGACTGCATAAAGGTAGCCTAAATTCGCCAAACTTTTACTTTGTTAAATAATTGCACAGGGGGTTATTGTCATTAATTTTTATATCGATTGTCTAAATCATCCTCTAAGAATGAAACCCCTGTAAAGTTAAAGAGCGAGAATGGAGATATGACTGCATAAAGGTAGCCTAAATTCGCCAAACTTTTACTTTGTTAAATAATTGCACAGGGGGTTATTGTCATTAATTTTTTATATCGATTCTCTATATCATCCTCTAAGAATGAAACCCCTGTAAAGTTAAAGAGCGAGAATGGAGATATGACTGCATAAAGGTAGCCTAAATTCGCCAAACTTTTACTTTGTTAAATAATTGCACAGGGGGTTATTGTCATTAATTTTTTATATCGATTCTCTATATCATCCTCTAAGAATGAAACCCCTGTAAAGTTAAAGCAAGAATGGAGATATGACTGCATAAAGGTAGCCTAAATTCGCCAAACTTTTACTCTTTTAAATAATTGCACATGGGATTATTGTCATTAATTTTTTATCTCGATTCTCTATATCATCCTCTAAGAATGAAACCCCTGTAAAGTTAAAGCAAGAATGGAGATATGACTGCATAAAGGTAGCCTAAATTCGCCAAACTTTTACTCTTTTAAATAATTGCACATGGGATTATTGTCATTAATTTTTTATCTCGATTCTCTATATCATCCTCTAAGAATGAAACCCCTGTAAAGTTAAAGCAAGAATGGAGATATGACTGCATAAAGGTAGCCTAAATTCGCCAAACTTTTACTCTTTTAAATAATTGCACATGGGATTATTGTCATTAATTTTTTATCTCGATTCTCTATATCATCCTCTAAGAATGAAACCCCTGTAAAGTTAAAGCAAGAATGGAGATATGACTGCATAAAGGTAGCCTAAATTCGCCAAACTTTTACTCTTTTAAATAATTGCACATGGGATTATTGTCATTAATTTTTTATCTCGATTCTCTATATCATCCTCTAAGAATGAAACCCCTGTAAAGTTAAAGCAAGAATGGAGATATGACTGCATAAAGGTAGCCTAAATTCGCCAAACTTTTACTCTTTTAAATAATTGCACATGGGATTATTGTCATTAATTTTTTATCTCGATTCTCTATATCATCCTCTAAGAATGAAACCCCTGTAAAGTTAAAGCAAGAATGGAGATATGACTGCATAAAGGTAGCCTAAATTCGCCAAACTTTTACTCTTTTAAATAATTGCACATGGGATTATTGTCATTAATTTTTTATCTCGATTCTCTATATCATCCTCTTACGCTAACGCAAGAATGAAACCCCTGTTCAATTATCTGTGTGTCTCAAAACATGCCAATCCTATCAGAATTTGACCCTACTTCAGCTGCTTTGTTTTGGATAAACAAAAAGCAACGACGGGAACATTCGGATATTTTGAAATTCCATGCTTCATATACAACCTTTTAAAGTGTGGTCTTGGAAAATTTCCTTAAAATAAGCTCTCAAAGATTTAGACAAACTTTATCGTTGGTACGGAGCAGCAGGGTTTTTTAACGTGCAGTTCTTCACAAAATGTGCAGTTCTAAAAGTTGTTTGTGCAGTTCTGAAATACACTGTGCATTTAAATGGATTCGATTATATGGATGGTCCATTTAAATGAAAATATGTCTCCGTTTACACTCGTCCATTAAATTGAATCAGTTTTTTAAAGCGTCGCCTTATTTTATCATTGACTCTGATCATGTTGCTGCTTCCGCTTTGATTGCAATTGTTTATAAAAAACGAAAATGTATGTGCAAAAAATTAAATAGGCAACAAAAACCCGTCTGGGCTAAGTTCTAGTTGACCCAAAGAAATGAGCTAGGAGTTGATAACACGCTTTTGCAAGAGTCGAATATTATCAAATGTTCTTTAGAATGTTTTGCGAAAATATCAATGAGCTCTTGCAACTCGTTGATTTTGATATTAAAAAAATTAACACAAGGCTGCGAGAGGCAATACCAGCAAAGATAAAATTCTCAGCAAGGCTCGCTAATTTTGTTTGTCTTGCATCTCTATTGAGATACAGAGGCGATCTTGTGTCCTCAAGACAGCTTTCCTCTTTCAACAAATTTATAAACTCTTCGCATTATGGAGGGCTAATGGGGGTCAGCCACAAAAAGCTTACATTTGACGGTTATTGTGTTTGATTAGCCAATCATTGCCACGTAAAAAAGCAAAAGCTTTTTCAAACGCATTTACAAAATGGGACATTTTCCCAAATTCAGAAGGGTGTGATCAGCAGGAATGTTCCCGCGGGTAAAGCCTTGGACCCTCTGCTGTCGGACTGCTCTTTGCCCTTCCAATCTTCCGACCCTCGCTACGCCACTGGTCTGGAGCACAATCCACCTGTACCTGCGCATCATGTACATTTTGTTTATACTTACAAGAAAGAACCAATAATTATTCCTTCAACACAGTGCTCCCGAGAAAAATGTGCAACTCTTAAATTTCCTTTTAAAAAACCTGATGTAGAGTAGTAGAGGGTTACGTTCTTTATGGAAAATACCATCCATCGCTAATACCACGCGGAGGACTGGAACTTGTTCTTGTTTGCAGAGGACTGGTACTTCAGTTCAATTCTCAAGATATCAGATGAAGAGATACATTACTTCCAAGAACTAAGATTTTGAAACTAACATAGGAAGTTGGATTGCCAATGTGGTATTTCCCCCTTTAATAGCGATATGAGAGAAATTGATATTAAAGAAATCGATTAAAAAGCCATGGCCAAAAATACAATGGTCAGAACGATGAATCGTAAGAAAATCTTCATGGAAAACAAAACCTTAATACGTTTCCATTGACGACTGAAACATATATTTGTATCAAATATTCTTCATCGCTTCCTCTCTGCATCGAGGCTCGCTGCAAATGCCATACTACATATTATTAACGTTTATAAATTCAACGCTCCTATGAAAGGAGCAGTTAAACCTCTGAAGGGGCACTGGTAAAGTTGTTGGGAAATCCTTACTATTTTGCTTTTCTATAGAGGCCCTCCCGCGCCCGAAGCCAAATCATATTTTATCAATTTTGATTATTGCTATTGCTTGTCTAAATTGTATGCTATAGCCAATATGTTGTTAGCAAGTTCTTTTGACATGATTTTTCCAATAATTTCGATGATCTACATTAAAAACGAAAACGGAAATTTTGGAGGAAGAGGAAGGCACATGAAGCACGAGGCAAAACAAAAGTGACGTCATAATCCTATTCAGCAGAATATCGGGAAGGAGCGTGGCGGAAAGAAGTTCTGCGAAGAGAATGCCAAATACATGATAAAAAAGCTTCCTGTGTTGAAAGTAAAAGGAAAAAGTATTAAGGTATATTTTTATATGTATCTTGACCATGGGTATTTTATAATGGTCTTGTTTGAAAACCGTCAGATGTAGAGTAAATTTGTTCGCTAAATCGCATTTTAGGCCTAACATAACATGACATTGGTGAATGGAATTTGAATCAATGAGACGATATCATGATAATAACATACCAAATCCACCCAGAATGCTTTTTATGACTCAAGAAATATCAAAAGCATATAAAGACGGGGACAAAGCTAGATGTCCAAAAGTCTATTACCATACTTTTTATTCTTGTTTTAAAAATTGAATTTGTTGGATAGTTGAAAATAGCCTAAACCGAGGCGATGTAAATTCTAGGATTACACGATTTTCCTTTTACAAGGAACCATTTTATAAGGAACCTACATGTAGAATGCGGAAAAAATTGAAGAACCTTTTTGATACAGATAAATTCCCTAAAGAACCTTCCAATTTTGAATATTTCTACTTTTGCAAATAATCAAGAATTAGGAAGATAAAAATGGAATAAAAATGGAATTTTCCTTCTTGAGTGAACAGCCATTTTTTCATACATCAAACGTCTTTCTAGTCTTCTTTCTGTTTTGACCTTGTTTTCAAGCTACCATTGATAATATAGCAACACTTCTACAGAATTTAACTATAATATATGCTATTTACATGGCTATTTAATTAACTTTTGGTACTAATATTTTGATCTAAAGATGCAAGAAATAAGGAACTTCAAGACCTAGGTGTTAAGCTAGTTCCCCTATAAAAGAAACATGTATTCCAGAATAACAGGAACAACCTTAAGAATCTGGAAGCAATTTGTCACTCTTGCAAAGACACCCGCTATTGTCTACTTCCTGTTCAATCAAAAGTTGCTATGTAGTGTAGAAGATGTGAATGAACAAAATGAAGGTGTACTATTCACAGAAGAAGCCAGTATCGAAATATGTTGTCACCTTGATGTCAACTACGCATATAAGTATGTATATAATTCGCCACACTAAAGGTATTTTCAAGTTATAAAAGTTAAAAAGAATATAATACAATAATTTACATTAAAAATGAGAGACACCCCTAATTTCAGTAGCAGGGATAGCATTAAAAGGTCTAGCTGACCTTATTTCCACAATGGTCCCCTTAGAGGTGTTGGTTTATCAGGAAAAAGAAACAACGGAAAAAAGTATGATACAGGAATTTTTTACTGCTGTTAGTTACAAACTGGCCCTTAGTAGTAGACATTTATGCCATCTTCCATTTTGATAGGTTTTGAAAAAAATTCTCTTTGATCTTATGCTTGAAGGTGTTGATATAAGATGTTCATTTTAATGCTGGTGGAAAACTGCTCCATAACCAAGGACATTTTCAATGTAGACGTCCTGCCAGATATTGGCCAGAAAATTATAATGCTCAGAAAAAAGTACCACATCTTAAATGCTAACACCAAAAATTCTAGATGCACTCCATAATGGAAATTATTAATCCATTTACCAGGAAGCAATAAATGATTGCTTAAGTGCAGCTGTACCATTGTCTATAAGTCATACACCCAAACACAGAAACAAACTCAACCATTTTTATGCCAGTAAATTAGTTTTTCTTCATTTTGCCCCATTATGCTAAGGATTTCTCTGGCATAAGTTACACGGATTCCACCCAGACATTTTAAGAAACCTATAAATGTACTATCAAAAGTGTACTTTTCGGGGTAGAATAAAAAGACATTCTTGACTTGTGATGGTTTGCCTGCCTGTATTTTATGCTTGGAAATTGAGAGGATATATTTCATTAAAAACCTTTGCTTTGTAGATAATGTAGTTCATTAGCAAAGAAGAGTTTGATTGTACTTGTGAAATTCTTTTTTTCTTAGGCTTCAATCAAGATGGAATTTGGACATAGAGAGTTTCTTTGGTGAAAGTGAAATATCAATTATTGGTATACAAAACAGGTATTGGTATACATTATTTCTTTGTTTTTTGCAGCACACCACTGACTGTTTTTCATTACCATTGTAGGGCTTAAGTAAGGATTGTCAATAATGTCCTTTAATTTTAAAAAATACAAGCTTAAAACTGATCATTTGATGTTGACGTTACTAAAAAAATGGATAAGCAAACCCAAATTTTTGAATAACCACAATTTTAGCATATCAAACTATATTTTCAAAATTTTTATAAATGTAGCCAAAAGCAACCGAAATAACAAACACTCTTATGAATCTACTTCAAATCGTATCTTCTCTTGAAAACAGGCTATGCTTGAAACATCATTAATTCATTCTTTATTTTTTCCTAGTACAATTTCACTTGAATTACTAGTTTATATTATCTGATGTGTGAAGGGGGGAGGATTCCTTCTGGTTAGTTTACCTACTAAGGAAGCTCATCCGAAGGAAGAATCCTGCCTCTAGCATTTTGTTGAATTTGGATATTTAAGTGATTTCTTTTAAACTTGTGTAGCAATCACTGAATTTAATCCTTATTCTTGTTGTTGTAGTTGTTACTGTTGCTGTTTTCTTTAATCATGGTATTGGCATAATTTTGTGTCTTTCCAAAATTTTGCAATTTGTAATTTGAATTTGGATACAATACAATACAATACAATACAATACAATACAATACAATACAATACAATACAATACAATACAATACAATACAATACATTTCAAGACTTATGTGTCATTTCCAAACCCAGCAAATCTTATTTTACCTGCAGAGAAAACGGAGCCAGAAAAGATGATGTGACTACTGCGTGTCTTGATTCTAACTGAACTATGAACTGAACTTAATTACAAATTAACATACTTATATTCAGAAATGAATATCTAAAATTAACACGAATGCTGTGAGAAAAACAAAAGATAGGAAGGGCAAGTAAAGGTGATGAGTAAATTGAATAGCTTGGCAAAGATTAAGTAAAAAATATGGATTAGCAAATGCGTGATATGAGAGTGACATAGAGGATGCCTGTGCTGCGATGTGAGAATGTGATGGAATGAATGAGAAGGAAAAATCAAATGTAAACAGGCTTAGGCAGAGTCACTACAAAGTCAATAAGTAGAATTTTCCAATGCTTTTTAAATGTTATAGAAATGACCAATAAAAATATGTAATAAAACACCAGTTTTCTACATTCTCCACCATCGTAACCTCTCTAAATGTCAAAGCATCTATGTTCCTATTGTCACCTCCCTTGTTCTTTCAAACATAAAGTGGATCTGCTTTGTATGATTTTGGCAAACAAAGCTAAACATAGCTTAAGAACCTGTATTGACATTTTGTTAGCAGCATTTTTTTAATGTGATTTGCAATAAATCCTCTATTTGTGCTCTGTTGAATTGTGTATATAGCAATATCTCATTTCTGTTAAAATCTGACTTGACCCGCAAATTTTAGTAATGGTGATCCTGGCTATAAAGAATAAGAAATTATTTTGATTGGCTTGTCTCCATGTGCCAAGATACCTCAGAAGATAATGTTTCCTATCTTCAGTGTTTTTGTAAGCTGTACATGGTGTTGGCTCAAATGGAGGTATAATATCATATCAATTCTGAATTTTGCCTTCTGTTGTTTCATGTTTTTCTTTTCTTGCCAGATGAAAAATGGGAAACTCGTCAAACAAATTCAAGAAAGCATTGCAAGAAGGGAATGAAGTTGTAGCATGCCAACTATATTTACAAAATCCAGACATCAGAGAACGATTAGATTTGAACAGTCCAAATAAAGACAGCATTCACCACAACACACCACTTCATTATGCAGCCAAATACGGTATGAAATCATTATTAAAAGATTTTCTTCTACGAGGTGGAAATCCCAACAAACAAAACTCATTAGATCAAACTGCATTGCATATGTTGATGATGGCACCATCTGGTACGATGAAAAGTGTCGATCAAAGGCGACTTGACTGCCTTCATATGCTTTTGAAATGGAATGGAAAAGCCGCAAATGATAGAGTCAAGGAGAAGCTGAAGCTGGATGCAACAGATAATGTATGTTGCGAGTTTTTAGCTTACTTTGAAACTGTCATAAAAGATTATTCTTTTAATCTTTTGAATGTTCAAATATTTTTCGAATATTCATGAATTCTATATTCGTGGAATGTAGAGCTAATTTTTTTATTGACACATAATTCCTGCATTCCATGTTCTGCAGAGCATGATTGTTAAGAAGAGCAGCTGTTTTTATGCTCTGCCAACATTTGCTGGTATTAATTGTTATTTTTATTCCGTTTTTAAATTTACAAATAGTTTTCCCTCGTCTTAGCTGAGCCTCGTCTGTAATGCCTAAGATCTTTGGCGAACAACAGCAGTACCTACGCGTAACTGTATCGGCTTGGCGTGGATGTGCTAGTTTTTAGTTCAAAAATTTGCTGGCGTGGCGTTAAATTTAAAAATGTATTTAAAGCTTTTTATATTTTGCCAGTTTAAGAGCATTTACGTTGAACCCTTAGTGTGTTTAGTGTAGACATTTATTTTTCGGGATTCTCCTCCCGTTTATACTGAACTTTTATCCATTGGGAACCATGGAAAATCATGTCGCTATAACCCTTCGTGTGCGCTGAAAGAGTTCGCTAGTAGGCATAAATCAAAAACCATTTTTCAAAAAGGGCACGATTTGAAAACGGCATTTAACACGTAAGTTTCGACCTTAAAACTGAAAAAATCGTTGGAAATTTAGTAAGAGGCAAACTATTCATTTGTCGTTCTTCAAATCTGCCACCCAAGAAGATTTTCTCCTCTTAGGTTTTATCAAAGTGTCAAAGAATGTCTTGTGACCCTAACTAACGGCCCTTACGAAGGGCATAGCTTATTTAAATTATATTTGCGATAGGAGACGTTTACCCGTATTTTAAAGGGCGTGGTCTGCAAAAAATTTCCCGTGGGTAGACCCCTGGACCCTTACTGCTAGATTCATACGTGCCCAAAATCTCTCCCCCCTGATCTCTGTGTACTGTTTTCATTTTAAAATCTTACAACATTAAACATTCTGAGGTATGTGAAAACAATACCCTAATGAAGGCCACACCCCGTCGGACAAATTTACTGCGTATCCTCCCGTGATGGTTGCTTAGCGTGGCGTGGCGTGGCGTAGCGTGGCGTGGCGTAGCGTGGCGTGCCCCTTGAATTAAGGCAAGCTGGCGGTAGGAATCGGACCCCAAAATTAATGGCGTAAAGCCTATGGCGTGCAGAAAGCAAAATTTCCGGCCTTGGTTGAAGCACTCCCCTTAAACTGATCTGATTATTCCCATTCCCTCCTTATTTGCTTTAAATATGTCTTGCTTCCTTTTTCTGTGTCATGCTGAAAGTTTTATAAACTTAAGGAATTCTATAAATCACTCGCTTTTCTTGTTTTTTTTAGGAAACGAAAACTGCGCTTCACATGGCCGCTTTGTCTGGTCTTTCTTTGTGTGTTCAGGTATCTTTTTTGCTGACAATTTTTTTATCCAAATTTTTACATCTAATCTAGCTGTTTTGATTCAGTAGAGGTATCTTGATAATAGAGTAAGTTTGGGAGTTGAGAAGCTTCACTGAATTTTAAATGGAAAAGGATTAATTTCTTTTTTATCTCATTTCTATCGTAAAGTTGAGAAACACATTTTGTAATTGTGTAATTGTGTAAGCCAAATTACTTTATAATAACTTCATAGATTGTAAAGTGTGACATTTTATACAAGGTAAACAGATAACATTTGAAGGAAGTCTACAATTGTTTATTATAAAATTATGAAAATTGATTTAAGTAGCTTCAGAAAGTGCTTAAATTTCCTGTAAAGTTATAGCAGACAGAAAAATGAAAACGTAGGGGCTGTTAAAACAGTTAAACCGACGAAGAGGTTTCGCTATTTTGAAACCTTGACAGAGGATTAAAACTTTTTCAGTTTATTAATCTAACTTTGTACTTTCAGAGTTTGGTTGCAAATGGTGCTTCACTGTTTATTGAAGACAATCAAGGTTTGACAGCATGTGAGGTGGCAGAGAAGGAACAACATCATGCTGTTGCGGCGTTCCTTGAGGCGAAAATGGTCTTTAATTTGCAGGTAGCGTGATGCAAATACGTTCTGTTATGCTCAATATGAAATATTATGTTAAGGAATAGATACAAGATTTATTAGTTTTGTTGTTGTAGCATGTCACGAAAAAGGATCAGCTGTCTCAGAAACCATATAAAAGTATTCATTGGATACAAACTCAAGAAACTGAAACCTTTAGTTGTAAACTACATATCAGTAGTTAAATCATTTTTTCGAAAGTTTTAATGAAGTTTTTGCAAGCTTTTACTTTAGATTCCATATGCAAACATTCTCGTGTAAGAACAAACAACTCTCAGCATAAAGGGTCATCTAGAATACAAAGACCTCTAATCAAAATGAATTCTAAGCCTGTTTCTAAAATGTCCCCCTAAAGTCTTAGGGGGTTTCAAAGGAAGAATTCATGACCCTTGTACTTTATTGTTGGGTTCAATAGTAGTATAACCCCAAGACGTAAGAAAATCGGTGATATTTTCCCCACATTTTCTGTTGAAAATATGTTTCAAAACAGCTACTGTCGGTTGTAGTACGTTAGTATTTTGTTTATTAAGGCCTATCTTTTCGTGCTGGTCAGGCAAATTGGAAAAGGGTGTTTTTATCAGAGGCACCATCTCCCAGCCTTTTTCTATCCAAGGGTAAATCACAAGGCAGTGGTAATTGTAACCCTGGTGTGGAAGGCTTAGTGGTTACTATGGCTTGCCCAAGGCCGAACTACAACCTAGTGGAGTGAAGAAGCTGGTTTAAAACGGAGTACTTTAGAGTTAATTCATTGATAAATTGTTCATGCTAGCTGTGCAGCTGAAGAATTTTATCATTGAATCATGTATTGATAACCCTAGCTTAACTCTTGTCTGTAATAACAGGAAGATGTTGTTTTGGATCCAGAAGAAGGAACCCTAGATACCCTACAAGATGAAGAGGCATGTATCTTAATATTGATAGAATTAACCCTTATTTTCAGTAAAGCAATGCATATTTAGAATGGCTTTGAAAAAGCAAACATTTTATAACATATTGGCTAAAAGCTTTTTCGTCTGACACTCCTCAGAGCATAAAACGTCAGAATTTTCAAGTTTTGTATCGCCAAGAAATATCTATTTATGTATATCTTTTGGTATTTTGTCATAATGCTTATCAACTTGCTATAAATTTATATTTTAATTGGTCATTTTCTTGTAGTATTTTGGACTCTGTGCTCAAGATCTCCAGGAAATTAAAGATCAATTGATAGTAGAAACATCTGATATGCTTCAGGTATGCATTCTGAATAAGACATTGTCTCCAATTGAAAATCACTTTGTTGTCCAATAAAGAAGCTTTTCTGCAGGTGTAACGAGAGGCAGTTTTTGCTCAAATGTTTGTTTTTATTCCAAAGATTTAGTATGCCGTGAATTCCATTGGGTCAACTCCAAGAAAAGAGGAGTTGTGTGATACAGGCTGCCCGAGTCTTTGCAAAATACTGGATTGCAAAACAAAAAAGTATTTTTGGCAATACCTTAATGTTTTTGAAACCTTAAAAAGGCCCACCTCTCAATGCTTTATTTCTATTTCAAGTTGAGACACCTCGTTTTTGTTGCAGCAAAGGATAATGATGCATTTAGTACAAGAATTATTTGATAATTATGGTTGCTATGGGTTTTGCATTAAATAACGTCTATTTTTTGTCGTTTTATATATATTCAATGTATTGACAATATTAATAATGAAGATTATTGCATTGAGCTTGAAACTCAAATCGCGCAATGTAAATTGAAGTATTTCTCACTTCAGATACCGTTATTCACCGCTGAAGGGCTCCTACGAAATCACGAGTGGTCACGAGAACAGCTTCTTGAGGCATGGATGGAGGATCCACCTGCTGCCTGCGAAAAAGCTGGCGTCAAATTATCTCAGGGTATAGTAAATATGCTCATATCCTTCGCGTCTTTTACAAATAGAACCATATATTTTTCTGCATTACAGCAACACAATCTTCGCGAATACAAGTAGTTGCTAGAAGACATTGTTTTAGAGTGCTGATTCTCTATGAGAATTAATTATAATTACCTGATAGCAGAATTCACCTTTCATTTCCTGCCAGTGAATTATTTGCATATTTGCTAATAACAACAGGAGAGTTTTGTCTAGAGCTGCGTTCAAGGATCTGAAGACTGCCATTTCTACAGACTCGGTTGTCCTGGAAACCCAACTGAAAGTCTTCATGCAAAAATTGCTTTTTGTTCTTTTTGTTAGGAAGTACTTCTCTCTGCTTTCTGTTGTTCGTGGAAAACGACTTGTCTTTTTTATTCAAGTGGGATCAAGAGACGACTTCTCTTTTGAACTTTAGTGTTTTCTTTGTAGATCATATTGCTTTAGATGCTATGAAAAACAGACTAAATGGTGTTAAAAAAAGACCGGAAGTTTCAGGTGGTGATAGCAATACCAACAAGGTATGTTTCATTTGTCAGTTAAATATGCTCTTTAGCAAAAGCTCCTCAATTCCCCTGCGTTGTTTAGCTCTTTGCCGGGCAAATCTACAATTTGTTATTTCATTAGTCTTAAACTCTTTGGAATTGCATACATTTTGGATTGCAAAGTCAAGGAACCTAGTCAGTGAATGCTTATCATATATTGTGTTATTGTTATTGAGCCAAGCTACCGTCAGTAAAAATCCAGTATAAATTGACGTCTTCTGTCATGGATGCTTCCACAACTAGCATTTAATACCAGCTGCAAGCATCTTAACGCTAATTATATAAACACTGGAGTATACGTTGTTTTGTCGGGATTAATCAGGGATTATATCGTCTCAAAATCATCAATACATCTGTTTGAAGCACATCGAGCAAGATTTTCTTAAATTTTCAAGCAGGATTAGTGTAATTTGCCCGGGATTATCATATAAGGATAGCTCAATGATTAGATTCGCGGACTGCAGGTCCACGGGTCCTAGGTTCGAGTACTTGTCATGACCATGCTTTCACATAGAGTGAGAAGACTCGCCAGCTCTCTGTTATTCCAGAAGTAGGAATCACAAGGTGTGGTCACATCAATAGAAATTACTAGGACATTACTTGATAAACAAACTTCTCGGGGTCCCAGAACTACGCCTGACAAATAGCAAATGGCCTTCGTGTTGTAAATTAATGATAGTTTTTTGAAATATCTAGAAACTGGTTTTTTAGTAATTCAAACATTTTTTGCAGCACAAATGCGATATATGCGATGAAATTATTTCAAGTGATGAAAATACCATCGATGTTCCCTGTGGTCACATGTTTTGCAAGGATTGCTGGGAAAGGTATTTAAAACTGTACAGTTAAGAATTTTTTTATTCTCGTGTTTATACAGTTATTTGATAAGGATTTTGTGGCGAATAAAACTTTAACGCTGGCTGGTCTTGAATATTTCAAACTTCTTTGGAGTTTGCTTCTGTGAAAACGGCAACATGATTTTATCATTGTTCCCAATTCCTGAAGACTGTATTTTGTATTAAAACGTATAAAAACGACAAAGACAGCTTGGCAGAAAACTAAGAAAGAACTGTGCAATATCGACCCCAGGAGTTCATGCTGGGCATTGCTGCACATTCGTAGGCTGTAAGGTTCTGTAACAATTGCTTGTGTAATTTTCGTATTGTTCCATGCGAAGTGTGGCAAAGTTGTGAATTTTGGTTGTTTTATGTGAAATAAATACAATTTTTTTATTTTTTCTCAAAAAATGCGTCTTCTATTCAAGAGAGCTTTACATTGCAAAAGTTCAAATATTTGAATAATTTCCCACGCTTGTTCGAATATTCGAATGAAGAATTCGAATGCTGAGTTGCAAAGATGTCGAAAGTTCGATTTCTGGTAAAGGATTCGCAGCGCAGGTGGTGCTGGAAGTATGGCGATTTCCAGAACGAAAATTGAGAAAACCTTGAACAATTTACATGAAGCAAAATTAACGCAGGTGTTTTGTTGGAGAGACGAGCGAGTGAAAATCTTCAAATGAGTGAGGCAACCCTCCGTCCTGGAGTCAGAGAGCATGCGTAATAATAACTTCGTTCCGTGCGCATGCTCTTTGACTCCATGAAGGAGGGTTGCTTCACTTTTTAATAAACTTTCTCTTGCTCGTCTCCCCAACAATGTTATCCTATCAGCATCGAATGGGTAGGGACCAATTCGTGCATGAATAAAATCCAGAACCGCTGGAAGAGCAGTTCCTTGTTACTGTAGACCTGCCCACCCCTTACCCTATATTACCAGCCTGCTAAAATTATCCTTTTCTTAATTGTTAGTGTACATAAAGGTTTTGAATGGACTAAATATCTTCTATGATTGAATACTTATGTCCAGTCCTTTCTGTGATAGGTACCTTTCTACAAAAATAGTCGACGGGGATACCCTGAATATATTATGCCCAGGTCACGAATGCAACAAGCTAGTGCCTGTGGTAAGTAGAGCTGTTTTTTCAAAGACTTGCTTGCAAAATTGCTTATATTTCTTGTATACCACGCAATCTTAAGCTTCCTTTATATACAGGCACCGCGGAGAAAAGAGGGGGGCTGCACATTGTATATACTTCACTTTTTGCCAAAAATGCAAAATATTGAGAAATGAGCCACCAGTGAAGCCTATCTTTATTCGGTTTTAGCCCCCCCCCCCTTATTTTAGACCTTCTACTTTTCTCAACGCTCCGCGGTCCCTGACGCATTTATTTGTTTCAAGGTATCTAGGCCTTTCTCGTCGTAACCAAATATCTGCTATATATGTCAGCTCATCGTAAGTCTCGAACCTGTTTGTGTCATATAATTTTTGCAAGAAGCAACCGTTATATTCCCTACAAAGCGTCTGCAGTTGAAAGATCAAGATTCACAAAATCCTTTTATAGATGTATGAGAAACTAATGAGTAGCTATCAGGTCTTACTGATACTGTAGTAAAACTGCAGTTGTACTGTTACCCTGTTAATATTTCTTTTGTTTTATTTTTTAAAAGGAAATCACGGAGAGGTTAGTGTCCAGGGACATGGCAAAGCGATATTTGCATTTTGATATTAAGGTTAGTTATTCATACATTATGCTTGTTCTCTGTTGGAATACACTACCAGGACAAAAGTATTGCAACACCTGCGAAGGCCATTAATGGCGGGTCACGCAATAACTTTTGTTGTTGTCTGATAAAGCTATTGTTTAATCAGCCAATGGCGCGCAAAAAAAATTGCAAATTCAGTGAAGCATTAATTCGAATATTCCATTTTCACGTACATGTACATGTCAGGAATTACAAAAGTAACTGAAACGAGTGATAAAATCTTCTGGTTGTAAGTTCACATTGACAAATAATTGCTAAATACTATTCGACAAATTATTTTTATTAATGACAGCACAACCTTGAAAACAAAGATATAAAAAATGACAATTTTAATAATTTTCTTGCATCTTTTTAAAAATGTATTCGATTAATACACTAAAACATCCTCAGTATTTGACTCGGATGCTTGGGATAATATATTCTGGTCTTCATAATTTTAAGTAATATTCTTGAAGGCCAGGAAAAATTTTACAAAAGTTACGTAAGTTAATTTCATTTATTTAAAATAACTTTAGACTTGCTAACTCCCAGGAAACCTTATATATCAGGGCGAAATATAAGCATCTAGTTTTGACAGTTGCCCAATGACCTAATTGGCTGTGAAACTCCGACTTGCAACCTACAACTGTCAGATTTGTCAGATTTATTGCACACGCAAGTTGCCTGTAACAAAAAGGCAAAAAGTTTTGCTGTGTTTCTCAAACCATCTTTTTCCTGAATTCGCAGCCATATTGCTTACTGTATATTCTCTGTTTTTCCAGGCCTTTGTCGATACCAACCCTAATTTGCGATGGTGCCCGCATCCAGGCTGTGGTCGCGCTGTAAAGTTGCCGTGTCTTCCATCAACGTCACGAGGGATTGATTTTTCCACCAGTAACAAAGCGAAATCAGTTGACTGTGGCCAAGGTCATTATTTTTGCTGGTAAGTTCGATTACCTCTCTTTGTTTATTTTTTAACGAATGTTGTAATGCCCTGGAAGAACAACTCGTGCATATATTGTCTCTAAAAAGATTCGAAAAGGGAAAATTGTTCATTTTTGCATAAATAAATATGTGGACCCTACACGCTTATTACCACCAAGCTGGTACCATTGCCTGTGTCAGAAATCGTTTTGGTAATTTGTTCTGAACAGAGAAATTTTAATGAAAACAGTGGCAAAATAGTTGGGCTGCTATGATGAAGGAAAGACGCAAAAATCATAGAAAACGAATAGGAAATTGTAGTGGAAAAAGAAAAAGTAAATGAAAGGATGGAAAAACAATATGTATTTAAACATGAGTGTTAGGTTTCCAGAAAGGCGTTTCAGGGGGCATAGAAGTATATTTAATAAGACCGAAACGAATTTATTTATTCAATTCAGTAGTCCCTTCACTCTTCATGTTTAGTGTGTAGGGTATATTTATTGTAATCACTCTTTTTTCTCATTTGAATTGTATTTTTCTTTGACTTTGATTGAAGGACCTGCCTTGACGAGGCTCACGAACCATGTAAATGTGAAGTATGGCAGCAATGGAAGAAAATCGTGGAGGAAATCAATCCTACCAAGGGTTTGTAATAATGATGTTGAATTTTTTTATACTTATATTATGTTTCAAAATAGATAGCTGCAGATTCAAAGCTGTACAAAGAGCCAAAGCTGTACAAAGAGCCAAAAATGTTTTATTCAAAAGTAATGTTTTATCAGGTGGCATGTTTGATTTTTAGATAAACCTTGCTGTTTTTATCAAATTAGTTTAGCGCGTTTAGATCTGATATTATTCTTTTCTGAGGGAGGGAGGAGTATGAATTATTTTTGGTATGAATAGAGTTTTAATGTGTTCGTTTAAAACAAGGTGTCTCGTTTAAGACGAGTGATGATTGAAGAAGGTTTTTGCTCTCGTAGTTTTCAGTGTATTACTCATATTTAAGTCAGTGAGATTGGGACAAGCCAATTTTAATCTATCATTGACTGCTGCAGACACACATTAAGAAATTTCCTACCGATCAACTTTCTTTCTGGAAATGCGTCTAATTTCATTGATTTCTGACTGTTTTTTGCCTTCTCAAAATTAGGGTTTGAATTAGTATTTATTTTTCTGCCTTGTTGTGTGCTATATTTATATATGCTCTATTTGCATCATCTTAACCAGCATGTTAAAAATGAAATTTCTTTTTGTAACTTTTAGCAAATGAACAGTCAGAGGAAAGAGAGACGGTGGCTAATGCTTATTGGCTGATATCCAATTCAAAAAAATGTCCTAATTGCCGGTAAAGGAACTTTTGTCATACCAGATATTTGCGTTAAAATCTCTTGTTTTGGCTTAAATTTATTGCTTGTTAATTTGGGCAGCTGTTTCCTGTAGCCTAATTGCATTTTTGTCTTATGCTGATTGTGCTGATCAATTTTTTAAGGAGTCACATCCAAAAGAACGAAGGCTGCAACCACATGACCTGCGCAAAGGTATCTTTTTGCTCTTAGCTCGAGGCTTCTCCCATCTTCAAATGCTTGCTAGCTTGCCTTTAATTTCAGCCAGTAATTTCTGCCTTTATTTTCGCCTGTAATTTCGGGCAAAACCAGCCTGTACACATACTGTTAAAAGCTCATAGTTTAAGTATCTTTTTGTCTATCCAGGTAGCCCGACAGTTTCTGCGGAGTAGAGAGCGATTTCGTTAATATATGGACACAATCTCCTTAATGTATGCGCACAGAGAACAATCTCATTAATGTATGTACGCATTCTAAGGTCGAAGTTGTTGGTTTCCAGGAAAGTGATTTGACAAAATTGCACAATTGTAGCTATTTATCTGTGTCTATGTAGAAAAAATTAGCCTAGCTGAAGAAAATACTGGAAAATCTTTTTTATATATTTCATCGACTGAAGGCTTAGTCATTAAAATGCTGCTCTACTAAGTAATTGGATCTTCTTAGAAGAAGCTCAAGTTTTATTTTCTCGGCTAATTCTTTTTCTAGTGTAAGCACGGGTTTTGCTGGGTTTGTCTGGAACCATGGAAAATTCACAGTGCAGAAACTGGGGGCTACTTCAGGTAGGTGAACTGAATGCCTGGGTTTACATTTTTCAACCAAAATGCACTATTATCAGGGCTGAAACTGGATCAGGATTAATCTTCGAGGTCTACACCCGTCATTCTGCTCCGTCTTAGAAGATCAGTGACTATAAATTGTATCTTGTATGGATGGAAAATTTAAGAGTGAGCCCGTCTTCTTGCTAATGAAATGCTGATATCGTTGTGGGGAGATTTATGCGTTGTTATTCTCGGTTTGACATGTGTAGTGTTTTCTTGTTGATATATAGGTTTGATGTTTCTTAAATGAATTATTGAGGAAAATTCAATCAAGATATTTTGTTGCCAAAGCACAAAAATGATATTGAATGATTTCAAGAAAAACTAACCCTTATCTGACTGTCTAAAGGTGTCCTCATGTTTCCCTTCAAAAAGTTGCTTTAATTTGTTGTCGTCGTCGTATGGTGCCTTGTCAGATTCTGAAATTGGCTGTTACAGTATGGTACAATGTTTTGCTTTCTACCAGTTGAATATTATCCATGCATCTTCTTTTTAAAGCTTTCTTTTTCCATCCGAGAAATGTCTGTCTTTATCTTCCTCGGTCTTTTTATGTTTATCTTCCTCGGTCTTTTTTCCTTCTATTATTCTAGTTACCATTTGGTATACGGTGCCTTGTGTTCTTAGAGACTACATTGTCTCTGCAGTATTTGTTTCATTAATTATCTTTTTGAAGTATAAACATCAGCTATAACTAAAGGTAAGCCGATTTTTATATAACAAGATTCGGGTCGAAAGTCACGTGAGAGGAGGAATAAGCGTTCGATTGGCTTCCCAATTTTTACCAATCAGCGATTTTGTCTGCACAAGCCATAGTCTTTTGGATGCACCAGTCATGCTCAATTCATCAGATGTAAACAAGTTCAAAACCATCTTAATATAATAACCGTTGATTTGATTGTTCATTGACAATAATTTATTCATATTTAATTTATTCTCTTTCTTCTAGATGCAATCGATATGAGGTTGTTAATACTGTTGAAGACAATTATGAAAAAGAGCAACGAAAGGTAATAATTCATTTCTATTCTTGGTTTCCCTCAAGAACCAGCTGAAGTTTCTTGTAGAAGTCTTGTTGCTATGCCGCAACGCATGTTTAGGCGACTTGTTTGAGAGATTCAGTCACGAAGAGCTATTCATTTTTTATAATCATTGATAATATTTTTGTTATTTTTTAAAAATTTCTTGATTATTTTATTTCTTACCCTTTCATTCTTTTAACTATTTTGTGTTGATTTGATATTCATTCTTTATTGTTTGGCTTTTCGTAAAATCTCATTTTTTTCTTTGTTGTCAATGTTTTTTATTTGATTTTTACACACTGTCCTATTTATTATTTACTATTTTTCATCTATAAACATCAGATATTAACTAAAGGTAAGCCGATTTTTATATAACAGGATTTGGGTCGAAAGTAGGCTTATTTATCGTTGATTAAATGCAACAAGCTGTTCAGCAATGAATTTCAAGATAACAAATTAAACCTTGAGTATCCTTTTTGGCAAACAGCATTGCATTCCATTGCCTCAAATTTGAAATGAAAAAATTTGAAGGATTTCGACAAGTTTTGAGTTTTATTCATCTGATCTTCGACCTAGGTGAAAGACTTCGTTCTCAGATTAAAGCTTATCTGCTAATCGACTGTGGAGAATGTTTGTTTTTTGTTTCAAATGGTTTTGCTTCGTCATAGATTGAGAAGGAACATGATGAAGCAGAAAGAATAAACAGATTTATGCACTATTATACTCGATGTAAAAACCACGAAAACAGTTTCCAGGTATGGTGTATTACAAAAACGAGAACAGTTTCCAGAACCATTCATCTAAGCAAACTGTGTAATTTCTTTATTACAACATCATATTATTCCAAATATAATGTATGTATTTGGAAATGTCACAAGTTCTTTTAACTTTTATTTGTTTTGACCTAAAATAATTTAAGAGTTATTGCCAGTGCCCTTTTAAATATCATAATTTGTCTGAAGATTTGTGAGTGGAAGCTTCAAATTCATTCTTGGTAGACGGGACTTGTTTTTGCCCTGCACAATCCATCCCGAGATTGGGTTCTAAAAATTATCATTTATTTTTGCATTTTGTTTTTACCAGGTGCTGTTTATGCCTTACATGATTCCTGTAATATAATGATGTGTTTTGTAAAAAATTTTGTTCTTTTTACTTATGATTTTTTTATTTCCATGCAGCTAGAGTCGAAACTTCTTAATGCCGCACAGGAAAAAGCCACTGGTTTGCAAAAGACTGCTGCGGAGCTTGGTACATTTTCGATTCTGTTTTTCATACGATTGGCTTCCTAAAAGCTTTAGAAATTTTTAAAACCCGGTTGTAAAAGTTTTTGATATTGACAAAGCATGGCGTGTTTTCTTTTAACGCTTTGGCATAAAAAAACAAGGGCTCAGCACATTTTTCGCTATTTAATTTGGATATTGATAATTCTCTTGCTTCCCAGAATGATCGGGGTGGAGAAACACCCTACAGCTATGTCTTGCTGAAGAAATAGTGCTTTTTCGAAGTTTTTTCGTTAAAATCGTATTTGTGGTGATCAGTGATTTGAATTAAAGTGAGAGAATAAACCCTAAGTTGACAAGAAGAGTGCGACTCTGTTAAAAAAGTATTTCAAGAAAACATTCGGTCATTTGTACTCTCTATACGTCAGTCGGTTCCTTGTAGTGTTTTTTTGGTGGTGCCTACTTTTGTACCTATTTTTGGAAATGCAAAAAAATATTTTTCAGTGCATATTTTTTTGTTTCTCAACTGTCAAGACTTTGGTTTATTGCAAATCTTGGATGTATTTTATTTTGAACTTATCAGCCCTTTGCACATTTCTTTTTCAAGATGAAGGGTGTGTCGTTGATGTCAACTTTATTGAAGAATCGATCAAAGAGCTTTTGAAAGCGCGACAGATTTTGAAAGGATCATATCCATATGGCTACTTTCTGGAAGACGTACGCGGCGAAAGAGCCGTCTTTGAATCTTTGCAGGTGATTAAGTCTGTTTTTAAACTTTCAAATTCCGAAAAAGAAACGATTATCCTTGTGTAGCAAGAATTTTTCACTTAGCCTCTGCTACGAAAAGCAGCAATGTGTTGGATCGGCTGCTTGGTGACAATCTGATCGTTTTGAGAGTAGTTTTATGAGTTTAGGAAGTGAGGTCTGTGGCCTTTGTTGAGGGTGATTATGAAATAACCTATATTTAATGTTTATGGATCATTCGTGGAAGCAAATTTGCGGAACCAAGAGCAGTCTGATTTAGGATGATCATGAACTGTCGTCTGAGAGTTATCAAATTTTACACATTTTTCTTTCCTTTGTTTCTTAAAATAATAGAAGATCGTTCTGCTATTAGAAAACATTTAGAAGACATCTGAGATAAACCAGTGTTCATTTGACAGACTCCCAACTTGATTAACCCCCAGAATACCCCTACCCCTAGTGAATTTTCAAATGCTGACCCGAATTTTTTCATTTTTTCATGTTTGAGAAATTTAGAAGATTTACGCAAGATTTATCTCAAAACAGGACGAAGTGGAACAGGCCACTGAGATGCTATCAGGAATGGTTGCAAGGCAATTTTTGAAAACACCGAAAAACAAAATCATTAGCGCTGCCCGTAAACTGCGACGCAGGAAGCGTGAATTTCTCTCTGCTGTCGAACGAGGGCTGATTCCTGATGATGATGATTATGACTTCACTGGTTCAAAGTAAGTGACCAGTCAATTCAAGTTATGATTTTCTCCAGTTAAAGGAATGTTTTCACCAGATATTTGCCGCAGGAGGGGAATTCAAATCGTTCTGCGATTTTAGAAATACCTCTGAGGAGTGTATAGTTTTTTTGTACGAAGATTGACTTACTTTTAAACCTGAGTTAGTTTACATATAGTTTTAAGCGGGACTGTGTGGGTAATATTGAGTTATAGAAAGTGTTTTACATTGAAATTTATGCCATGACCTGAAAGATAGATGTTAAATGTCTTTATGAGGGCAGGGATATTCAAATAGGTTCGCCCGTTCATCAATTGAACATTCTATTTCAGATCGTTCCAGCAGAGTACTAGGCCACGTGCAATTCATAGACGGGAATCTGTAAGTGACTTTTTTAAACTTTAATCAGTTTTCCATCCAATCTCCACAGAACAATTGTGTTCAAGCCATTTGTGTTTACTTGTTTTTCGTAGCAATTATGGCTCTGACTGTTAAATTGATAAGCACAAACATTGCATGTTGTAAGAAGTACTTTTGTTAATTGAGATTATATTGCTGCTTTGCGTCATTTTGATAAATAATGTTTAATCATTTATGAGCTGTAAGAACATAAACTTACTCCATGAGCCTCTGTTTCGCTACTGCCTCATTTGACTGACGCTACAACAGTTAGGCAGTAGCGAAACAGAGGCTCATGGAGTAAGTCTAGTGAGAACACAGTTACATATCGAACGTCTGACAGATCCATTTTAGCGGTCAGATCCATGTGATGCAAAATTTAGTATTCAGCAAACAAGTGAAGTAGAGTCCGTTCGTCAGTGACACGGAAAAGGCGATGTTTGTCCTCTTAGATTAATTGAGAGAAGCCTAGGTTTAATGATTCTGGTGTGTTTAAAGTATTGATGCTGGAATATCTCTGCATCTGTGTGCTTGACCTTAAAGGCAATCGACTCAAGCGGATTGGGCCATCTCTCAATCGGTTCTAGCCAATCAATAACCCTATGATTGGCATCACGCGCGCTGATTGGCCGATCGCTGACTGATTGATGACTTAAGCCACTTTGGTATCCTGTAGTTTCAAATAAGACATTGTGAGTTTTTTAACAGAATTTACTTTTTAATAACCTGATTTGTAGGGTGACGAAGACAGTTCCTTATTATGGAGTGAACTTCAAAGGCGACGCCAGAGATCGCGCCATCGCAAGACATCAGATACATTAAATTCAGACTCTGATCAAGGTAGTTTGCCACTAGACAACGAAATCCTTCACTGGCTAGAAATGATACGATTAGAACTCAGGGAAGCTAATTCTAGTGATGGGGATAGAAACAGACAGGGTGCAATGTTTAAGCTTAGAAGGAGAGTTGAAGAAGCCTACCGCAAGCGAAAAATGAATTCAAAGAAGAAGAAAAGCAAGCACGGTGGACCTGATGCTTATCAGGATATCACCACTCCTGAGGCTGGCGGAGCAGGGGCAGGCACCAGCAAGGATCGAACTGGTCAGTGATTTTGGCCTTCGTTGTTTTCTCGTTCAATTACTAATGAAACTTTACGTTAAATATACTACTTGATTGTCTTAAATATGCTATGCAGTAGACTTACTTCATGAGCCTCTGTTTTGCTACTGCCTCTGTTGTAGCGTTCGTCAAGTGAGGCAGTAGCGAAACAGAGGCTCATGGATTAAGTCTAGCTACGCAGTTAACCCGATCTCTTCAGCCTTATGTTGGCAGTATAGAGCGAGCTGACTGGGTGTTTAGGAAAATGCCTATATTTTTTCTTGGTCCAGAAGAGTGCTTTGTCTGCTCTTTCGAACAGTGCCCTTAAGCTTTCGAAACCTTACTAAAAAACAATTAAAAAGAAGGTTTTTATTGTAGCACTTTGGGTTCTATACGGTTGTTTACCTTGTGTATCTATGTCTTCTGGGTTCTCATCTTTTTGCTTCTTGAAAAATTGGATTGCTTGTAGTTTCGGAAAGCTGACAGGCCCATTTTGTTCCAAGGGAAAGATATTTTGAAGTACAACTTTCACTGACATTTACCCAATGTTTTTCTCTTTTATTTTATAAAGTATAAATTAATAAAATTGTGGTAGTATCCATCCTTTGTTTATTTTCTGATTCACGTATGTGCTAGGCTATTTTCTACGCAACTTGAATGCAATTTTCATTGTGATGTTATGAAACTTAGAAAGATTCACTTTGCTAGAAAACGCTTCTCAATAACGTTCCTGTGTGTATTTAGGCCGACCGCGAGTTCGAAAGGTCGTTCTGTTTACGGATGAAAGCTCCTCATCAGAGGAAGAACATGGCTACGCAAAGAAGGCCTCTCGTGCAGATGCCCCAGTAATTGTCACTGATGACAGCGATAGTGACACTTCGGACTTTGGTGTGACTGGTCTTCGTAAGTATCACTTGTTTCATTATATGCACCAAAAAAATCGTGTTCTGGGTTTGCAAAATTGTCTCTTTAGTGGGGGGTGGGTAAATGAGACAGGAAGCAAAATGAGACAGCCTAATGCCGACGTTAATTTTAAGTCGAAATTTGATTTAATCTTTTCAATACTTACCCGTTTTTGTGGACTTTGTGCACGAATGCTCAGTATTGTAGCAAATTGGTTTTGTATTTTGGCACGTTCCTGCGACCGAACAACATGTTTGATCTGGACCAATTAGAATCTTTGCCAGATAACTGGTATTCGTTGCATGACGTGGCACACAGTGACTGAACAATCTTGCTTTTTATCGGTCAGTGGTTGTTTTAAACAGTTTCCTTTTCCTTGCGCAGAGGCTGCTGCGGCATCCATAGTTGCCCCCTCAAAGACGTTTGTAGCCCAATTTGATTACAATTGTGAATCGGCAAGTGAGATATCTTTAGAAGCTGGTGACGTTGTGGAAGTTCTTGATCAACGGAAAAGTGGCTGGTGGCTCGGCCGATGTAGAGGTAAAGAGGGGCTTTTCCCAGCAAGCTTTGTGGTAGAAATTGACGCCGGACAGCCGAATGAAGCAGCGCCCCTGGCTCCTGATGTCCCTGCGGAACAGACGAACACAGAAGGTAATGTACATTCGTATTTGTCAGTCGTTTTTATGAAATCTGTCTCAAGACGCCATCTCTTATTTCTAAATATTATTTTATGTCGAGTTGTAGTGTTCTCTATTTAATTTCGTGTGATTTGATGTTCAATAATCTTTTCTTTTTTAGAACTTGACCATTTGCTACAACAAGCTTTAGAGTTGTCACTTGCAGAGAAATAAACGTGAGCTTTGTCGTTCCAAAGCTGCACGATGCATTCTGATGGCAGCATGCCCCAGAAAGTAGCGTAGAGAATCTCGTATTTTCCCAGTTTATTGGTATCTGCTATAAGTGCGATAGTGACAAACTATTCAAATTTTAGTTGCCTTTAAAACAAGGACCTCATCAAGAGAGATATTTAGTTATGCGAGGAAATGGCCATAAAAAGCATACAATAGCGAATTCGCCAGGTTAATCCGGTACTGTACATTTCACTTCAAAGTATCTCACTCAAATATACGTTGCAAAAATGTTGGCACATTTGCTCAAAGCACTGCATACCTATTTTGCCTTCTCAAAAGCGCCATTCGACAAGGAAATGATCGCGGATTCATAAAAATTACATGAATAAATCCATTATTTGCTGTTTTGACCCCGGTCTTGACCAGCTCGACTTGGTGTCCTTAGACCTTGACGCCTATAACCTTTGCACCTTTTCCAGCTTGTCCTCTAACCTCAAGACCTTTAAGCCTACCTCGAGGATGTTACCTCAAAGAAGGCGGACAAGATAGGGTAAGGCAACCCTCTATGTTGAAGTCAAAAGCAAGGGCATCAAACTACAAAATTTTTACGCATGCTCTTTGACCCAAGTCGGGGGACGAATAATTCATAACGATAGTCAAACAAGATGAAAATTTCTCGTCAAACTGACATATCTTCTTCAGCAAATGTAGGTACAACTACCTATATTTAGCGTTGCTCTTCGCTGTGCGTATTTCTCTAAACACATTGTGTGCCTGAGGTTGTATGCATGTAATAAAACTTAAATTCTATTAACTAAGACTTCAATTAGTTTTGTAATCTGTAATTAATTTTTAACTTTAAGTTAATATACTTTTCAAGTGACGAAATTCTTTTGAGCTCTTCTAGATTTTTAGAAGTAAATTAAATTTGTAATAAATTCTACGTTTTTTTAGTTAATTGATAAGTTTTTTTTTAATTTATCTTGTTATTATTAAGCAGATACCTTTAGTGGGAATGATACACACTCAAATTGACACAAATATTGAAGTAAGATTTCTTTCAGACATTTGCGATTCCCGGCAGCAATTTCTACACATCAGCTTGCGAAATATGCACCCTGTTCTAAAGAGACGAAATTTGAAAGCATAATCAAATAAAGAATATTGGAGTGTAGAACAGAATCTGTTTCTGAAATTCTAATTGAATTTTTGTTTTATCAACCAAAGAGTATATTTGCCAGAAGAAAGAAATCTCAAAGATTTTACTTCTCTCTTGTTTCGCGTGTGGCTTTTTTAAAATGCTGCGTTTTGCAACCGTATTGGTGTTATTTAATGCTGTTAAGAAAATTGTAGTTTAAACGGGTACACCTCAAGCTTTTTCCGCTTTGGCGATACCCTAAGTGTAGAAAAACTGTGAAATTCCAGAAGTGATTTTGATAGGAAGGTACTTTTCTGTAGGGATAGAAAGTCGAAAATTAGAACTGAAAAAATAGAAAATCTTTGCACGAAAAAGACAAATAAACGCCATAAAGTAATTTATTTCACGACAGGCAGCCGAATGTCTGCAAAATATAGATTGCTCCACACCGCTTCGAATATATAGTTGCAAGAAAAGCGATTTCGGAATATCGCTTCCCAATCTTTTTTGTTAATTGATGCGAAATATTGCAAGAAGCTGTGATTTTACGTAATGTGTTTTTATTTTTATGAAATAAGTATTTTAAATTTCAAATTCGTGAATTAAGAACTTTTGACTTTTAATTATGTTTAAACATACGTTCACTAGATATTTAGTGTACAATTTCCTATGCCGTTCGTTTCTTGATTCAAGAAATAAAATTCTTTATTTATGACGTCACAAAAGACTAATTTAACAATTTTTGAATTTGGTTTCCATAGCCTGAGAGATCATCATAAAATACCCTTGAATATGGAAAATTCATTCATATTCATATTATAATCGATCTCTTTTCATAGCCTTATGAACAGAGCCACGATAACAGTAATCTGGTAGCATACTTGAAATATTTCGAACGCCATATCTCACCCTATTTTTGACATAGTTGATTTTGCATTCTAAGGCCTGGTTAAAACGTCGCACTTCTCATGTGCCGAGCCTAACTCGAGAATAAAGTACATGAGGGGCGCGACGTTTGAATCAATTTGGTACGGCAGATTTAGTTAGGAGTGGCAGAGTAGTTTGGATCGACAGAGCTTGCCGAGCCACACGGCTCCAGCATGGCACGGTTCCAGCGTCGAACTTGTCATGTACCGAACTCAATGCATAATTATATTTCATTTAATTTATTTTGAAAATTTATCTCATAACATTGGATTCTCGTCGCCGTTTTGCTTTGTTTCTTACTTTTAAACCAAGATACTTCATGTAACAATCCTAAAACCCATTTTGCGTGACATAATTAAGTTCGACGTTTGAAACGGGAGTCGCGGTAAACATGCTGAAGTGTCGCTCCAAACAGAGTTAGGTTTGGCACATGAGAAATGCGACGTTTGAACCAGGCCTAAGGCTAGATTTTTTACGTAAACCACACTTAAGAACTCTATCAAGAATCAAGTAACGATTTAAATTTCCCCAAGCAGCTAATTTATTTTAAATCGGCTATCGTGTAAAAGAATAATGACTTTATGGATGCATCGGAATATGAATTGTTGAGAATGTGTGAATACTTTTCTGTCATTTGCTTCTTCAACCCCTCGGATTTCTGTTTTAGGTTGAGACAGCCCTTTGTGTTCCCATTTCCTAACGTTTTTAAATATATTTGATTTAATTACAAATATCTAGAGACACACTTGGATTTCATAATGGCCATCATTGGTGTATTTTCAAGTTTTCTTTCCTGATTGTTTTTCTTTCTATAATTTTCTTTGTATGATATGTGGCATAATTTCTCATTTTAATATAAATATATATGTCAAAGGGTTTTTCATGCTGAAATGCTAGACTAGTTAATAAGAAAGTTGTAATGACGTAGCGGTCCAAATCAAACACGTGCCTCGCAAATGGTTCGTTCTTGCAGTTTGCATAAAAAAATTAAAAAATTAATCGTCTGTCTATTGAAGTTCTGCAAGCAAGGCAATAAGAAGATAGGCCAACGCCGAAAACAAGAAAGCAAGTTCTGTCAGGCCGGCGCTAAGGATCAATCTTCTTCATGTTGAATGGAGATCAACCATTAATACGCACAGAAGTGAATGACATTGCTACAGTATTTCCACAAATCAAAATTCCTCTTTTCATGAATAATTCAATGTCCAAATGCACTGTGAAATTACACTTACTTTTTGAGCCTCTGAATTTGCTACTGCCTCACTTGACAGCGCTACAACAGAGAAAAGTGAGGCACTAGCGAAACAGAGGCTCATGTGAAATTATACAGGTTCAAGCTCATAGCTGGTTCACGATAGTCTCGCTTCGAGGTCAAAGAAAAACAACCATTGGACGTTGGAGCGGTTGCAGCGATAAAGCGTCATAGAAAATGCCCGAATCCCGAGGAATGAGTAAAGAATTTCAGACTGTTTCGTGGGCATACTCTCTCCATACCTCCGATCTACCAACAACTAAAGCCAATAGAAAGGTAGGAAGCATATAATTCGACGCATTCTTTTTTTTGCTTTTAGAATCTTTGACCGTCACAAAGAGACCCTTTTTATTTGTATCCTGCCATTTGATATTATATTATAAATGCAGATAGGCTTGAAGCAATTCCTTTGAGTTTCCTAATAAACCTAGAAACATTAGTCTATTCTTTTCCATTATTCGAGCGCCTTTTTTGAATTCTTTCATCCTCTTGTATGTGGATATGAGTGTTGGGATTTCCAGCTACTTTCTGCTTGTGCGCAACCTTGGTTTTTTAACAAAATCATTAACCATTTTTGAGTTAATACTTTGTTTACAGGTCCTTTATATCTTCCTACTCTGCCTTGTTTATGCCAAACATTATTTTAATATTGTTTATTGTTTAGAAGCATATTGTTTATGTCAAATTTATTTCTACATAATGAAAGGTTTTCCTCAGCTAGCAACTCAGCGAAAGCAGTTCAAGATATCCAACAGAATACATAACAAAACTGCCTAAAGAGTTGCAGGAAACGACACAGAGACTATAATTGTATTCAACAAACAAAGTGATATATAAAAACAACTACAAAACGAATAATATAAACCAAACGTAAATAGTGATAATACTATTGAAATGTCTTTATTAAAAATTTCCAAATGGTCATTTTCTGCCAGGTGATATTCGCTTGTGAGCGGCATTTTTCTGCGCTAACAATTTATAAAGCACTTCAGCGACAGTCCTGCGTTGTCTTTTGGAAATTGCATGCCTGTGATGCAGTTTTGGTACCTGCATATCCCTTTCTCCGACCATCCTTGGTCGTACAACAGGTTCGTTGTTTTCACTAATCGCTTTATCGGCGTCTTTTATTCTTGCATTTGCCTGGTCAAGCTCAGTTTCAAATCCATCAAGACTATGTGAACTTCTGCGTTTAAATTCACCGGAATTCTTTCGCAGGGTGCTAGATCTCTCCGCAGAGGAAGGCCCTTGAAAAGTACGTCCTTTTGCAATTTTTGTAGAATAAACATCATCTTGCTCAAAATCAGCTCTGATCTTTGCGTCTAACTTCCTCAGTTTACTTTCATCTTCTTCACTTCTTTCTGAATCTCCGTTCTCTTCTTCCTTCTTGTGACCATCAGAAGTCTGTTTCTTCTTTTCTGCTGCTTTCCCAACTCTGTTATTCAAATGATCTCCAGACTCGTTCTCGTTATTTCTTTTTAAAAAGGCGTCATGGTTTTTCTTCCATTCCATCCACTTGAAATATGAATCGCAGGTATCCTGATCTTCTTTTCCATCTTCACAATCTTTTGTGAGTTTTGAGATTCTGCTTTTTTCATCTTCCTCAATATTTGGGTGCATGTCCCCTGGATTCTGATCGTTTAAGTCTTTTTCGTTGACGTTTGCAACTTCGTAAGTTCCCTTAGTATCACGTCTACCACGCGGGAACACGTTTTCATCTTCTTTCTCTTTCATCAGATTGTAAAAGGAGTCACATGTATCTTTATCTTCTGTCCCTTCTTCACAAGCCTTTTTGAATTCTAAAATCTCTAGATTGGATTCATAATTCTCTTTATCCTTTCCAGTTTCTATCAGTGCCTCGGCATTGCGTTTACGACGAAAAATATTCTTTTGCTCTTCTTTCTCTTTCATCAGATTGTAAAAGGAGTCACACGTATCTTTATCTTCTGTCCCTTCTTCACAAGCCTTTTTGAATTCTGAAATCTCTAGATTGGATTCATAATTCTCTTTGTCCTTTCCAGTTTCTATCAGTGCCTCGGCATTGCGTTTACGACGAAAAATATTATTTTGCTCGTCTTTCTCTTTCATCAGATTGTAAAAGGAGTCACATGTATCTTTATCTTCCGTCCCTTCTTCACAAGCCTTTTTGAATTCTGAAATCTCTAGATTGGATTCATAATTCTCTTTGTCCTTCCCAGTTTCTATCACTGCCTCGGCATTGCGTTTACGACGAAAAATATTCTTTTTCTCTTCTTTCTTTTTCATCAGATTGTAAAAGGAGTCACATGTATCTTTATCTTCCGTCCCTTCTTCACATGCCTTTTTGAATTCTGAAATCTCTAGATTGGATTCATAATTCTCTTTGTCCTTCCCAGTTTCTATCACTGCCTCGGCATTGCGTTTACGACGAAAAATATTCTTTTTCTCTTCTTTCTTTTTCATCAGATTGTAAAAGGAGTCACATGTATCTTTATCTTCCGTCCCTTCTTCACATGCCTTTTTGAATTCTGAAATCTCTAGATTGGATTCATAATTCTCTTTGTCCTTCCCAGTTTCTATCACTGCCTCGGCATTGCGTTTACGACGAAAAATATTCTTTTTCTCTTCTTTCTTTTTCATCAGATTGTAAAAGGAGTCACATGTATCTTTATCTTCCGTCCCTTCTTCACATGCCTTTTTGAATTCTGAAATCTCTAGATTGGATTCATAATTCTCTTTGTCCTTCCCAGTTTCTATCACTGCCTCGGCATTGCGTTTACGACGAAAAATATTCTTTTTCTCTTCTTTCTTTTTCATCACATTGTAAAAGGAGTCACATGTATCTTTATCTTCAGTCCCTTCTTCACAAGCCTTTTTAAATTCTGATAATTCAAGATTTGATTCATTATCAAATTCTTGCATTTCATCTTCCTGTTCAGCTTGGCGTTTCAAGCGAATGTTGGTCTGTTTTGCAGAGATTTTCTCAAGTGCACTCTCGTGGGCGTCCTTCCAGGCCAACCATTCATTGTAGGAATCACAAGTAGCCTTGTCCTCGTTTCCCTTCTCACACTCTGCCTTGAAGTCATCTACCTCTGATTCGATGTCACCAGGCTCTTGTTCAGCTTGGCGTTTGAAGCGAATGTTGGACTGTTTTGCGGAGATTTTCTCAAGTGCACTCTCGTGGGCGTCCTTCCAGGCCAACCATTCATTGTAGGAATCACAAGTAGCCTTGTCCTCGTTTCCCTTCTCACACTCTGCCTTGAAGTCATCTACCTCTGATTCCATGCCACCAGGTTCTTGTTCAGCTTGGCGTTTGAAGCGAATGTTGGACTGTTTTGCGGAGATTTTCTCAAGTGCACTCTCGTGG